CCCCCCCTTTTATTTTCTCGTTTTCTCAATTTCCTCCACCTGCTTTACGTAATGTCATTTATTTACCCCGTAAATCCATAAAATAGCAGTTTACCCCTTGCTATAAATTCCTATCAAGCTGTGGAAATGTCAGAACTATTGGCCCAAAACTGGAAAATAAATGAGTTAGATTTAGAAAAGATTCCAGTTAAAATTTTATGTTCGTGGCAATGGACAGATATGATGCTAAGACACAAAACTGCAAGCATATATAGGTTCATTTATTTAATAAGGCATTTAATATTATAAAAACAAAGTTATTGGGTTTGGGTTAAAAATAGAAACCTTATCCCATAATCACATTTTTTTACCCAAAAAGATTAAATCATGATGTGGCGTAAGCTGTTGAGGTCATCATTTTGCAATGAAAACCTCTTTCCAAATTTTCTGTTTTTGTTTAAATTCAAACTTCTTCCCAAAATAAGTCAATGGAGAAAAATGTTAGAGAAAAAAAATATTTTGTTAAATATGCGGATTATTATAGGAAAACCGTGTTGGATTTGCACCAAGGCAATTATCATTAGATGGTTGTTGTCGTACTACACTCCTTTTTGAAAAAGTCAGAGGCTTTAACAAGGATAAATACGTTGGGTATATGTGAACGTTCACGAAATTAGGCACTAGAATGACATCTTTAGGAAAATAAGGGGAATAAATAAAAATAGTTTAACAAAGGGGAGAAAAACCAACAAAGATCTATGATCTATTTACCGCGATATATAATATATATAATGATTTACGATAATAGCGAGGTTGGTTTTTTTACCTGAGAGTTGACTTTCCTGAAGCACACCCAAACGCTGTGTCAAAGACACAAAGGGTACTACTTAATGACGTGGCAAGATCTGAAGTGATAATCGACCTCTAATCGGGACCGTTGAATTTCCCTTCGTACCGCCATAGGAGCCGCACCCTTTCTTCTTTCCTTCTCCTTGCCTGTTCTACATCTCGAGCATCAGTTTTCCAGATTTTGTCGATCGGATCGTGTTTGAGAAATCGGGTAGATATGGGTTTCGAAGACGATCCGTAAGTTCGTCTATATCTTCTTCGTTGTTGTTTTTTTGTTCGCGAAAAGAAGATCTCGGGTTCCCTTCCCCCCTTCGATCAAATCTAGGGTTTCTGGATTTTGATCATGCAAAAACGCAATTTTGAGCTCCGTTCCATCTTTAATCCTTGAATTTTAGGTTATTAGGGTTTTTAGGATTGGATTGATCGTTTTTGAAATTCATTAAGAGTTCTGAGTGCGAGATTGAGAATCCCGGACTCTCATTTACAGGTCTTTCTGTTCTGCTGATCTCTGACCTTACATGCCAAATTGATCGTTTGTCCTTTCAGGTTTCGTGATGAAGATGGAGAGCCTTTGATGGACTACGATGATTTCAATAATGATCGCGAGCCAACCCCTGAACCTCTTCAGGACTTTGACGACAATTTGGCCGATGACGTTGGGGAATGGAATGCAGGCGAAGGGTCACAAACTCCGGTCTACGACAATGATAAGGTCAAGCCCAGGAAAAGGTTAGTGAAGAAAACGTCTGGTGGACAAGGCACCATGGATGTTCCAGAATTGGTTGATGAGGATTTGGACTTCGATGGCGATGAGTTTGCTGGACGCGGTTCAGATTTTGATGACAAGGTGGGTAAGAAAAGGAAGGAGAAAGAATGGATCAGTAGTAGTGGCAAGAAGGAGAAGAAGCAAATGAAATTCACCAGCCGTGGTGAGAGGAAGTCAGCAGAGATCGATGAGATGTGGAATTCTATTGCCCACAACCCAGAGGTATGCCTTAGTCATTCGTTTCAGAATGTATAGCTGTTGATGATTAGGCCTATTTGGGGTTTTCATGAATTTTGCATCTCATGAATAATTTTCATGTTATGATAGATTGATGAAGAAGGTGTTAGGACTGTGGATGATGATAATTTCATCGACGATAGTGGGTTGGATCCTTCTGAGAGGTACGGACACGACCATGGAGGCCACTCACCTAGTCATTACCCTGAGGTATGAATAGTATCCTTGTTTTGTCTTTTCGTCCCTGAAGCTAGCATTCTTTGTCTGTGTGTTATTTTCATTATTCTTTCTAAAAGAAAGTGAAATTGTTAAGTCTATGATTATCACTGGCGGATTGATTTCTGTGGGGATATGTTGATGACACTAATTGCTTTGATGTTTTTAAATAGGCAGAGGAGGGTGAAGAGGATGATGAGATAAATCAACTTTTCAAGGTGGGGAAGAAAAAGAAGAAGAATGAGAAAAACCCTGCAGAAATTGCGCTTTTGGTTGAGAATGTAATGGCGGAGTTGGAGCTCACTGCCGAAGAAGATGCAGATCTCAATAGACAGGGGAAGCCTGCTGTTAACAAGCTTAAGAAACTTCCACTTCTTACTGAGGTTCTCGCCAAGTAAGTTGCTATTGCTACCATTTTTTTGTCAAATAAGCTTTTTCTTCGCAACAATATATATGTATTTTAAATTGTATATATCTATCTTTATTTAGGAAACAGCTTCAGTCAGAATTCCTGGATCATGGAGTTCTAACTCTATTGAAGAATTGGCTTGAGCCGCTTCCAGATGGAAGCTTACCAAACATAAACATCCGTGCAGCTATTCTGAAGATTCTCACTGATGTACGGCCCCCTTTCTTCTGTAGAGCTTTTCACTTGTATTGGCTGGGTCAGGCTTCCCTGTTAATATGATATGAATACTGAAATCCTGACCACATGATGCAGTTTCCTATTGACTTGGACCAATACGACAGAAGGGAGCAATTGAAAAATAGTGGGCTTGGAAAGGTTGGACTATTGCCTTGTGCAGACTCAGGAGTCTGTACTTGTGAAACAAACTTAAGATAGCTTATTTTTATTCTATATCTCTTGCAGGTCATTATGTTCTTATCGAAGTCTGATGAAGAAACTACATCAAACAGAAGACTTGCAAAGGATTTGGTTGACAAATGGGTAAAAACAGCATTTCATTACTCTATGTTCAGCATTAGCTCTAATCCTGGTTTTTATATCTGTAACATGTATTTTCTTGATTGGATCGCATCCTCATAATATCCTTCCTTATTACATGCTTTGCAGTCACGTCCAATTTTTAACAAGAGTACAAGGTTTGAGGACATGAGAAATGTTGACGAAGATAGGGTTCCCTATAGAAGGCCTTCATCAAAGAAGTAACTTGTGAACTTTTTTTTTTCCCTTTTCACTGCGTAGCATTGACATGCATATACTAATGGATTGCTTCTGTACTTGTTCTTTGGGGGGTTCATGAAGGCCTGTGAACAAAGCTTCAGCTATGGAATCCAGAGATGGTGACTTTGACTTGGATATTCGGTATCACGAAATTTCTAAATTTTGATGTTCATCAAAGTCATTGCTTTATAAACTTTTTTTTTCAGTTTGTTAACACTATTCGACACTCTGTGATGATATGCAGGAATCGTAAAACTGGTCTGACATCAGGACAGAGTTCATCCTCCAGGCAAGTCACAGTAAGGCCAGAAGCAACCCCGTTGGACTTTGTGATACGTCCTCAATCCAAGATTGATCCAGATGAGATCAGAGCCCGAGCAAAACAGGTTGCTCAGGACCAGCGCCGGCTGAAGGTAACATGCTTACCTTCCTTCCGCCAATATCCATGTCTCATGAGGATAATCACCGACTAAAATCATTTCATTTAATATGGAAAATGTTGAAATTCTTGTAAGCCAATTCCCTGGCTTGTGATCTAAAAATTTGTTGCTTTTCCATGGACCGGATTGTTTGTGACCTGGAGCTGTGTATTAACAGAACCCATCCTAAAGCTTGTTTCTTTCTTTCCTTCCGATAGAGTTACCCTTGAAAAGTTGAGGACTTTTCCCTGAACCCTAAAGCTCGGCTCTGTGCAGATGAACAAGAAGTTGCAGCAGCTGAAAGGATCGAAGAAGAAGAGGCTGCAGGCGACGAAGGTGAGTGCGGAAGGTCGTGGTATGCTTAAGTACCTTTAAAGGATGGAAGAAAAGCTCAGACTGGGAGCCACCACTTCAAAAAAAAGGATATATTGTTGAGCCATGGGAAAACTTTACAAAGCGTTGGCTCTTGAGCATTATTGTTGGAAGGATCTTCAAGCTGCATCAGATGTTAAAGCCCTAAGGCCTCCTAGGGGAAGTCATGGAAGAGCCAAGTCCATGTTGAAATGTGTTTATTTGTGCTCTAAGTCGCCTTATATTTTATTTGATGTCACTTATGATTTTTTGATGTTTTTACCTTTTTTTTAATATATAGTGATGAATACGAGCTTAAAAACATTTTTCATCCATTTTTATTCAATTTATCAAATTTTGAACGTTTAACTCTCCTCTAACTTCTAGTTCTGCGTGTTTGAGAATATAAACATGCATTCATCATTTGTATTCGACCAACAAACAAAAGATCAACCAAAGAATTTGAATGGCCTCCTCTTTAACTGTTTACTCTTTGAAGAAAACATCAGAAGAAGACAAGATGATTCTCTTTCTTTCTTCTTTTCTTCTCAAAAGAGAGAGGAACATCAGAAGACAAAAAAGGAAACCCTCAGTCTACCGTTCCTAATGTCTTGTCATTTACTCACACACACAGATCTTGAAGCTGCAAAAACATAAGTACCCACAACACAAACAAGAACACCCAGAACCATAGAGAACATCTGGAAATTAGCCAGAAACTCACCTCGGACTTGGGAATCAGTTGATCTGCAAGAGATGGCATTGCCATTGAGCCTGCAGCCGTCGGGCATCATCGGGCCATAGAGGGTGAAAGCTGTCTGGTAGAACCACAGCCCTTGAAGGGTTATGGCAATGCCATTGCAGAGATCTAAAGGGAAGCTGGTAGGGAAGAGGGATCCTGCCATGGATGATATGACGCAGAGGCCAATGAGAAGGACGAGGAGGAGATGGTAGTAACCTTCTAGACCTTTGTGGGATGTGGAGTGGAAGAAGAAGAGGATGTACTCTGCTGTGAATGCTGTTGCAGCAATTAGACATAGAGCTTCTTGTTTGAGAGGAAGTAACCTGAAACAAAAAAGAATGGAAAGTAACTGAAACTGTAAACATTATCTTTTTTACAATCCCCATACGCAGATCAATGCTTAACATGACTGTTAGGACAAGGCTTTAACACCCGTCCCTGCAGAAACATACTCGGGTAGCATAGCTTAAATCGTGATGGGAAGTTCTAGAACAGCTCTAGACCGATAAACACATAACTAGGTTGGCCACACACTGAACTAACAAAAAAAATCCAATCTTGCCTAAAAGACAACTCCTGTAACTCTTCAATTATCATGAATTTTGATCCCACCCGATTTAAGTCATCAGCGATTCGAAACTATAAGCAATCCCTGTTTCTTTGATATCTTAAACCATCACCTCAATCACTATCATAATACTCTTAAGTTTAGCAGAACATAATTCCAAATATCCGTTACTAAGTAGCAGAAGAAGACAATGAAGTGAAGTACCTTGTCTTCTCGGAGACCAAAGAGACAACCCCGAAGATGAAGAACATCAGAAGCATCCCCGAATGCTCGAAATCATTCATGTGGGATGGATTCAAGACACCATTAACGAAAAACTTGAGATGTGTCGAGTACAAGAGCTCGATGCACATGTCAATGAATGCACCAATGGCCACAACATAAAGCTCCAAGTACTTGAGCTTGCCATTGAATCCAGGAACAGGGTTCCACACTCGGACACGAAAAGAACTAGGGTTCGATATATATCGAACCACTGAACTCCATATATGCCACACACCAACGACAAGAAACAGTGTACCAGGCAGAGCATGACCCTTGAAAGATCCCATCTTTTTATACTGTTCAGAACCTGATAATATTGGCAATGAAGTCGTTTGATCAGTTCTTGGCATATACAGTGCTGCGGCTTGAGATTCTCAGGTCAAGAAGGAGATCTTTTTTTAGCAGATTTGTACATGATATACTTGTATAATAAGGAAAATAACAGAGAAAAACAAGGATAGCTTCAGAATCAAACCCAGAAAATCAACACTTCTCTGTGTGATTGAGAATAACAAAGAGAAAAAGATCAGCAGCAAAGATCTTTCCTCTTCAATCGTAAGATAAATAGTTCACCTTACACAATCAGAGGATTCTCCTTCTTCTTCTTCTTCTTCTTCTTCTTCTTCAGATCAAAGGACGAAAAGTCAGATTTGTCGACGGTAAAGAGAGAAAAAAAAGAACACCCAAGTCGGTCAAAGTTTTGAAGCTTGACGACACGAACTTTCACCGACGGGTAGAAATCCAAATTAGCACAAAACAGTTAAACACGACGATTCTCCCGGGGAAAACACGGTAAAAGCATGGTAAAAATTACGAATCAGAAGAAACCCAGATACAGAAATTAAAAATTTTTGGATAATCGGAACCAAAAAGTTCACCTTTCCTAAGAAGAGATCATTTGATTAAGCGAAAGAAAAAAAAAAAACCCATGATAGCAAAATGATAGAAGCAATAGAACTTACATCACATGGGATTCAGATTTCCGTTCAGGTTTATGATTATGTTCCCGTGGAATCAAACCAATCGAAAGGAGATTGGAAACTGGAAAAGAATAAAATAGTCAAAGAGGGATGGAGGAAAAGCCCGTAATAATGACACACCGCATCTCATGAGATCGAAGAAAAAAACGACGCCTTTCTTTCTTCTTCTACGTGAAATCATTATTGCCACGTGTGTATTGCTTGTGTCCTTTTTTTTCCTCTTTTTAATAGGTAAATTTTCTTATCCTTTTTTTTCCTTCGCCTTTGTTATGCTTGTGAAAGGGTATAAAAATATATTAACAAACTAATATTTTTTTATGTAAAGCCAATGTATTTATTATCACAAAACCAAATCTGATTTCCAATTAGATTGTGGGTTATGTCTTTTGGTAGTCCAAAGAACATTGTCTCTACATCACGCGTTTTTTCCTTCGTAACAGAAAGTGATAAATCTTGAAATTGATACTAACCGACCAAAATCCAGACACATGGTAGATAACCGGTTTCATTTAAACCGGATTGAGCAACGCGGATAAACAACCGGTTTGATGCTGATCTATTTGCATTTGCCATCGATTATAGAATTGCTAAAGAGGACATGAATAATTTAACTTATAAAAGAGTACCAGAATATCAAGCGGAAGGAAGAATCTCAAGAGCAACCTCCTTGAGAGAAGGCATTACTTCTTGTCGATGAACACATATGTAACTGTCTCTCACTCTCCTCAGGACTTGCCACTGACCAGGATAACTCCTTCATCAAACACAAGACAAAACACAGCATTGCATTTTCATTCATTACAACACGTTCATCTGGACCCTGGAGAAACAGAAGGTGGGAAAAAGCAAAGGGCCGACCTGAAAAGAACGCCTCCTTTCTGTCCCTTGAAATTGTGGATGTAATACACTGTTTCCATCTTCGGGAATAGGGTTTCCGTCAATGCAGCCAGTTTCGGGTAAAAGAATTTCGGATAATCTTTTAGTTGGTTTAAGCAGAAACGAGAGGGGAAAAAATAGCCTTGTTTTGAAGGAGGAGAAGCATGTAAATTGGGTTAGGTTTTGTCTTTCATCGATCGATGAGTAAAAAGGATACATCCCGATCTTATGCGGTCAAGTTCTCCATTGAAGATGATTAGTTTCCTATCCGTGTTCATGACTGCTTCCTTGTAAAGCTCTTCCACCACAAGCATCTCTAATTCATAACGAAGAATAACAACGGAATGAAATCACATCAAGATATCGTCAATGTGTGTTTTCACGAACTTACCGTTGACATTAAAATACGGGTATCCTACAAGGAAGAGCTCATCTTCTGGTTTCACTCTATCCGCCATTTTTACCCTCTCAGAGAAACCAAAGTCCTCAAAAAGAGAGGGCTTTGTCAAATAATCCAACTTAAAGGAAGCTCCTCCAAAGACTGTATTCCTTGCGAATTTAACTTCGTTTGCCTCAGGGAAGAACTGAAAACATTTATGCGCTTGAGTCTTTGAGAAAAATTTATATCAGATGGTGAAATCAATACCAGAATATTTATAAGCAATATATACATACAATCCTTGTGCGTCGAGCCTTTTCAGGTGTTATGAAGCGGTCACAGAACTCACGTATCAAATTCATACTTTCTGTCATTTCAGTACCTCCTTCACCATCTCCTGGCAAATGTAACGTGAAAAAAAAACAGACGGTAAGCAAGGGAAACTTAAATCGGCAGAGAACACAACATGGAAGATTACCTGGCACAGACCCAAGACCAGCTGTAGGGAACTCGATTTCCTGTAAAAGATTGCTCGTGGATCAAGAACAAATATTTTGCTTTCCATATTGATTATCCTCAGTGACTTAAATAAGCTGTCGCAAGAACTTACCATTAACTGTTTCTCGTCCTTCATAGCCAATTCAACTGCTTGTTTCGCCTGTTTGTTGGCCAAGCACAAACATCACTCCCTAATATATTCACTTCGTGAGCAATTTTACGAGCTAGAGCTATTTTTTCAACAGGGGGAAAATGTTTTTGCATGAACAATTCAGTGAAAAAAACGTGAAACGCTCTCTAATAGTGTGCAACTGCAAACTGCAGAACAGAAGGATCATCGGTCCATTTTGGGTCCAAGTATTCATCTTTACAAAGTGATTGCTCTTCACTGGATCTATGCCTAAAAAAGCGAAAGGAAAATGTCCACAAATACAAAACCTTACTTGGTTAAGGAGCTCGAAGTAATCACCAGGAAAAGGTATGTTCTCCACAGATGTGTTCTCCCTACCAGAAACTGAGCAAGTTTGATGCTTGAGATGCCTAATCTTCACAACATTTATACTCTTTTTGTCGGCGAAACCACAATCACTGTTCTTCCAATATGAAGAACACAAACCAGCCTGAAATCCGAATGAGAAAATGAGGACGGCAAACAAAACAAATCCCAAAAAAACCTGATCCTTTCACCATTATTGCACGGACCTTGCAGCATGAAGTACCAAATGCACCTCACAATAATACAAATTAGGTTTTACGGGAATTTCACAAGAGATCGAACAAGCCGACGACGGACGCCAGATTGAATTGTGAATCGGCTAACACGTACCGAAAGCTTTAATCCAATTTCCTTTTACTTAGAAATTTTCTCGGCAACCAAACAACGAGACAAGGAAGAATCACGCATGGAGAAGGAAACGAGCGTTTTGCAGTACCTTTGATTTCGATGGCAGAGGGCCGGTGAGAGGCGCCGGAGATACGGCCGTTGCGATGGAGAACGACGACGGCGACATGTGAACCAGAAAGTTATTGCTAATTTAAAATTTTCTGGTGTCAGAATTTTTGCGGAGGGAAATAGATATAAATACATATATATATATATATATATATAAGATTTAAAATATTAAAATAAATAAAAAATGACGGGTCAAGACTCAAAATCTTTCTGACCCTACCGTCCTATATAGCCCGTTGAATATTACACTTTGCCGAAGACGACGAACAGAGAAAAAGATGGAGATCTCCGGTACGGAGAACAGCGCGCCGGCGAGTTTCGCCGATGATGATCGCCCGGACATAGAGTACCGGTCGGCGCTCGACGGCGCTTGGTACTCCGTTGAGCTCGTCCTCTTGCACGATGTGTTGGTGGTCCGGTACAAGGAATTCCCGAGCGAGTACGACGAAGTTTTCCCGGCGTCGGAGCATTTCTCGAGCTCCGTCGAGATCGGGCAGTTCGCGGAAAGGTTTCGGCCGAGTTTCGAGCAGATGCAGGATTCGGAGTGCCCGACGGTTGCGAAGGGGACGGAGGTATGCGCTTTGTGCCACTCCACTGCGGAAGAAGTCAAGTTCTACGACGCAATCGTCGTTCAGGTAACTTTACATTGTTCGCTGATTATGTGTTTGGTATGATTTTGTCGAGATTTTGGGGATTTTTGGGAAGTTGATGTTTGAGGTATGTGGCCATTTCTGCTGAGTATTTAGTTAGAAAACCGAAAACCTCATTTCAAATCTGTTGTCGGATCCAAAACTGGGTTTGACAATGAATTGATTCATTCATGGTCATCGTTGATAGATGAAACATATTGATCTTATCTCTCTTTGGTTGAATCATATTGATGAAGTATGGTTGGATGGGAAAAAGGGTATTGATTTTGGGGATAAAGAACCATTGCCACTATGGAATAACCCTCTCAAGTTTATATAGCATTGATGAGACAAAGTTCAAGTGTTAAAACCCGTTTGCATGCTTAAAAAATTCCTAATGTATCTGTAAGTTCATGAGAGTTCACCATTGGCAGGTGGATAGGACGAGACACGGCCACAATGAGAAGGGAGAAGAAGTTTGTAAATGCTCGTTCTTGCTTTCATGGAAAAGCGGCCCATTGGTCGGAAAAGTGACGTGTGCAAAAATCGAGGATATCTGTTTGCGCCCAAAGAACAGCCGGGTCGATCCAATACTCCTCCTGTTCTTGAAGAAAGCCAAGGACCAGCTGCCAGAACATTCACACAATGTCTTGGTGGATAGCTCTGGTATCTTGTGGCTCCCCTTTTGAGCATTGGCCCCAACTTTTCATTATTTCTTTCTGTCAAGCTCAAGAATGATATATGCTTTTACTTGTTGCAGCAGGAACTTCCCCACATAAATATGGTCTAATGAATATCATAGATTCTTTAAAGTCTCCTCCTCATCAACAACAGCTCCCAACTAACAATCTTGATTTCTACTCAGTATGACAGTTAAAATCAATATATTTACTTGATTCTTGATTTATACTTGGTATGATCTAATGGACCATGTTCTTGTAGGTGCAAAGAGCACGCAGGAAAGGCAGGTTCGCCAGTAGGACAGCCTAAGGTTTGCTGTTCCTAAACATAAGCTACATTGTGTCTTCTTTATCCGTTCTGTCCTCATCCATACCCATACGCATTTAACTGCAGGTAGATGCCAGGGTATGTGTAAGAAATCTTAGCAGACCTATAGAAGATGTTTGCGCTGAGGTATTTTGGGTTGATGCAGTGTAGAAGATGTTTCCATTTAGCCAAACATCGGTTTTAGATAGAGCGTGGACAAAAATACCCTACCGCGGGTATCCGACTCGACCCATCTCCATAATTACCCAAAAACCGGGTATTCGAGATCTACTGGTCGAGTTTGGGTTATTCCAGAATATTCACAGCTTCGGTATGAGATCGGGAATTTAGTTTAGTAGGTCGGGTACCCGCAGGTACCCACAATACTTACAAAAACAGCCCTATAATTTTACAATTTTATAAAACTACCCTTATTAAATATATTTAGGTTTTCATTCTCTGATCTCGTCAGGAGAGCATCCCCTCTCACACCCCTCAGACTTCGAATTTCGATTCTGTGAAGGCGGTGGAAGTTTGTCATTAGGCCTGAGTTTATGGGCCTTCCAGTTTGGGGCCCAATAAAGGAGGTGTGGCCCATAACCAACTTTCCCATCTAGATTCTAAACTGACAAAAAAACAAAGCCACACAATTATTCATGTATCCAAACACCCAGAAAGTAACGTCAGAGTATTTACACATAAAACTTGTACATATATAATCTTATCTATAACGCTGTATATATGGTAAATGTATCAGTATAGAGATGACAACGCAACGTCAAGATATTTAAATGATACATAGTTTATGTATTGATGTATGTTTCTTATGTATAATATGTTTAACGAAATACAGTTTCGTTTCCCCTATTGGTGAAAACACGTTCATTTCGAACGAAAACTTGAAAAAAAAAAAAAACTGATAATTTAAAGAGTGTGTGTGTGTATATATATATCGATCTATACAGCGGATCAGTGCATAGGAATTCACCTTTCTGCATCGTAGAGAGGCTCACACTCGAAGTTAGTGTGTTCCAACATTGATCCGATCCTTACCACTTTAGGTATGATAATATTGTCTCTTACAGAACACACAAGAGGATTGTCCCATTGCAGAAGTGCTCCAACTAGATTTGCACGTACTGTCAATGGAAAAGCCCGAGGCCATCTCTCGTTCCCATATGAACCCATTGCTTCTTCCATTGATTCAGTCCCTCCTGTAATTGCACTGGCAAGCTTTCTTGCCAAAACCACTGAATCCTCCAAGGCACAACAAGCTCCTTGCCCTAGATTCGGAGTCATCGGGTGCCAAGCATCTCCGACAAGAACTACTCGTCCTCGTGATGCCGGAGGAGCAATGCCCGGCCATAGCCACCGGTCTACAAGAGGGGTTCTGCTCACTGTTTCGTCTGGTGTTAGATCGATGAGGTTTTGCAGATCTTCAGGCCATGTTCTAAGCAGTTCTTTGGCTTGTTTCTTTAGGACCACTGGATCTGTAATCTTGGGTCCTGCATTTTAAGACATTGCCTAGAGAGTTTTATGATGATGTGTATGAGTTTGAAAATTTAATCTCTCTTTTTTTTTTCCTGGAAAATCTACCTGGGGATGAGCTGTTGAAGCAGATGAACCAGTAGACTTTGGTCGTAGAGACAGGTACGTATCCAGCACGGAGCCCTCTTCCATAGATGTAATTCACTTTCCGCTGGAACGGCTGTCCGTCTGGATAGAACCCGAGGCCACGGAAAGCGCAATGCCCAGCATACTTTGGCTCGGAGAATCCCATCCACTTTGCCACCTTAGACCGGATTCCATCACAACCAACGACAATCTGGTGGCAAAGACATATCATTGTATCTGCCAGAAAGTGTATTTTATGTTGGAAGTATGAAAGAATGGAAGCAAACCTTTGCAAGGAACAGGCTTCCATCTTGGAGTTCGAGCAGAGTGTCGCCATTTTCATTGCTTTGTATCCTTTCCAGCTTAGAGGAAAACCTAATGGAGCCTGGTGGCAGCTTGCTGGCAAGTGTCTCCAACAGCACTCTCCTCTCTACAGCTCTGACCTCTTGGCTGATATATACAGTACGGGTAAAGAACAAGGGACAAAGTAAATGGTCGGAAAGCAGACAAAGAGCAGGATTTACCTTTGATCTTCGTCTTTGAATCTGAAAGAACGAAGCTCTCTTCCATCTGCCGTCTTCACCACCATCCTGCTCAGCTGAATCTCAACAAAGGTAAGTCCTTTCGTTTGTTTTATCTCACATTTGGTGCTTCTCATTCGTGGGTTTTGACAGAAATGTGTGATTGGGTCATCCTAATGGATAATCTGAGCTGATGGAGAGGAAACCGTACCCTTCGATCTCGAGGAATTGGGTTCGGAGTTCAGGTCCGACGCCAATGGCATCCAAAACGCTCCACCCGTTCTTGAAAAGCGTCAGCGATGTTCCTCCGGTTCGAAGCGACTCCGACTGTTCCAGCACCACAGACCGGACACCAAGCCTACAATTTCCAAATCCCGTGTTCAATTTCCCAAACTGGTTCGGTTGTTCCAACTAATCTAACTTACCGGTGAAGAGAAACGGCAGTGGCGAGCCCGGCTATGCCGGCGCCAATGATCACGACGTTCTCCTCCTCCTCCAGTTGGGCTCTGGTGGCGGACAGATTAACCGGTTTGGGATCGGTTCGAACTGGAAGCCATGAGTGTGATCTGGGGTGAGAGCGTGAAGGCCATGCTGACACAGGATAGCTCGGAAGAAGGAGAGGTACGGCCATGGCCGAGCCTGCAAGTGAACTTTAGATATCAGGGAGACCAAATAAGTGGATATGTGGAATTCCGTCATGTTTTGTCCTTTTTAAAAAAAAATTATAAATAATTTCTCGTCTCTCAATTTACTCGGAGCCAATATGAACTTACATGTTTTGTGCATGTTTTCGCTGTTGGCCCAATTAAAATACTTTGGGTACATTTGTTGTGTAAATAATGGGCCATATTAGCCCATGAGTCCTTTAAATGTATCCCTTTTGTATGTTTTTTTAATTATAAAAATATTTGATTTGCTCGAATATAACGATCTCATAAACATTCACTTATTCATGACATGAGACGGTATTTACTCACATGACCCGACAAAGCAAAGTCTCAGTCTTTACAACGGTTGCTTCCATATATAATATAACCGATCCCATTATTTTATGTACTCTAATTCCACGGAGAGAAACGGCAATATAGCAAGTTCTCACTAAGCAAAAACCTATAGATGGATCGCCATTCCCTCACCACACCATAATATCATCAGTCAGTAGACAGAGATGTCGAGGCTTACGCCTCCCAACGAACCTGACTCTATGGAGAGTCTCTCCCCTGAAATCTTCTGGTCCGTACGGCAACGCAGCCACAGGTACGAAATCCTGGCTAGTGCGGCCTGCCCTGCAACTTTCACACCATACACCAGTCCTAGACCCGCTTCCGCCCATATCTCATTTCCTGACGCAGAAGCTGTCTTCGGGTCAAACCCCTCCAGATCAGATTTGGTCACCACCACCACTGTCCCATCATCAAACACCATTACATCCCTTGGAACTGGTTTCACACTTCTCGGTATCATGGCGGCGGCTGCTTCTTCTACAAAAGGTTTCCGAGATTTTGGCACCTCGAGACAGTAGTACTCGAGAACAGCCTGCAGACCAGATACCCGATGGATTAAATAAGGAAAATAAACAAGAGTTCCATGATTCATCATGAAGAACAAAGTTCTCGTCACTGCCAGACAGCAGATACCTTCCATTGGGAGGCTGCTAGAAGGACTCTTGGTCTGATGGACCTCACATATGCATACGCAGCTTCGGGTGTCATGTGTTTGTGGTGTACCTGTTTTGCGAAAGACGGAATCAGCATAACGGTGTCTTTAACCAAGTTTATCGTGGAAGAACCGCAATACCAACCAAGTAACATATGACAATAGTTGTGCTGCGGCCCCGACCCGCCTTGCAGTGAACATAAGTCGTCTTTCCAACCAAAGCATTTCCTTGAAATCAGACAACTAAAGGTCAGGACGCAATGAAGATAACTTCCAACCACTGCAAGGTACTTAATCAAAGCAAAATGTCAAGAAGATAGACACCAATGAACAGGCTCCAGACGAACCACTTTACATGATAACTAACAACGCACACAAAAACTACTTCAGAGAACCAAATCATAATTTAGGACATGGAACGAAAGAGCAAACATAGCAATCCAGGAAAGGCACATACTATGGATAAAATCTACAGCTTGGGCTATAGCTTCCATGGAAGGAGCAAAACAATAATCTCTTGTGGGTATCACCAAGTGGTCAATGCAGTGAGACTGCCATCAGAGTAGAGAAACTAAATCGAGTCAATATATTAGCATGTGACGGAAACAAAGGATATATAGAGATGGGCAGCTTTAAAGCAAGGAGAAGACCCAGTTTAGAACTGACTTTGTACAGAGACGATGGAACCAAAGTTTCATATTGTTCATTCAGTGTGATCACCCCGCAAACACCGAGCTCTTTAAGTCGTGGCACGTCAGAGGGGAACGGAACGGCTCCTAGCAATATAAACTGGAGAAAAGAGAGAACAATGTCAGCAAAAGAGACAAGATTAAGCATGATACTACACTTTAGGAGGCATATATATATATGTAGGGGACGTAGGACACAAACAAAATGCAGCTCAGTTCAAGGTGAAACAGCAAAGTTGAAGGTGAAATCCAACTGAAGCGACATGTTAAAAATTCATCAAAACTGGACAAATAACATATCAGTTTAAGAATATATTCAATTGTGTATATCACATGGTCATGAACAACAAAAGAATCAGATACTTTGGGTATTCAGATTAATTCCTATAAGCAAAAGATTCGACATATCTCAAAAGAAACGGGAGAAATTTCACCTCGGCAACCCTGTCCCACCACCGGAACTCGGCCTCTAGTTTATTCCGAACAACATTGTAAACCAGGGTTGGATAGAATAGAGCACGAGCACCTACACCGACCAACACCCTCTTTGTCGACAACACGACCACACTTTCTCTGCTCAGTAAAGCCCCCTCGTCTCCCCCTACAACCCTATTACCTTCTTCATCTACCCCAACCAGCATCTCCCCCTTCTCCTCTTCTCTTTCCTTTAGTTCTTCGATATACATATCCCCAATCGAAGATCTACTAGAGTTCAACCACACGCACCAACCTACTTTCCCAATCGAAACCCTATTCACCAGCTATCTATTCAAGCGTATACACAGAGACAAGGTTAAAAATGGGCGACGGAACAAGGCCAAAAAGTATTCACATCAGAGACAACGAAAACGGTAATGATTTTACAGGATCCGCAGAAAAATCCAAGGAAATCGACAGGAAATGGAGATCGCAGCAAAATCAAGAGGAATCGACCGGAGAAAAACGGGATACAAAACTTTCAGGGAGATAACCACCATATTTCGACGGAAAAGGGCCCGATCAGGCGGCGACGGAGAGGATTCGCCCTTCAATCGGAGATAAAATCGGCCTCTGAAACTTGGAATGGAGAATTTAAGATTTTTGCCTAAAGTCTACTCCACCTTATGTTTTTCTTTTTGGAGAAGAAGAAGAATCGGAAAGGACGATATGAGTGTTGGAAATGGTTCCGATAAAGTGACAGCATGGAATTTGTGAAAGTCTATATGCAATTGCCACGTGTCCTTTCCAAGTGAGAAAAAGGCGTCGTGCTTCCCATTTGAACATGGGCTAGATAGCCATGACCCACGCCGAAAAAAAATAAAAGAAATTTTTTTTTTTTGTAATACCAATCGAAATTAAAATTTAAAAAATCAAAACAACCGTACTTTTTAGATAAGAATCTAACATTTTCCCTTCCGTAGACTTTTTTTCAATAACAAATAAAAAAATAGAAATAATGGAGCTTTCATATTTTAGGGAAATAGATTCAGCCGACAGGGGTTGGTGGAAGAGGCATGAAACTGAGTGGTAGCATATGTATATGATGTGATGATATGATTATTGTATGAGCTAGGCCCAGTTTAAGACCAACAATAAGGCCCGTTACCGGCCCATCAAAGGGCCGGTGTAAGACCAACAAGAAGACCCATTACCGGCCCAACTAAGGCGAACTATAAAACTACAACAATGCCTCCTTTCAGTACAATGATCACGGATTTTGGGGTGACGAGTATTACGAATGAAAAGTTTGAACTAAAACAAGGATTTGCCTTCACGTGAAATATCAAAAGAGGATATTAGGTTAGGTCAAAATAATTACCAAAAGTTTTATAATTAAAAAAAAACATATACATACATGTTAAACAAGAACATCTTGCTGAGTCAACCTAACTTAACCTCCTTTTTTCTTTTTAAAAAAAAAGACAACCTAGATTTTCCTGCGAAGGATTTCGGTAAATGACCAAAATACCCTTCGCACCCCGACCAGGAATCACGACCGCGGACGAAGAGCCTCGAACGGCAGCCCGTGGGAGATGGGAGAGCCGGAACCCCACGGATTGACGGCCACTGGCCTCTGGTGTTGACGGTGGTGGTGAACGGAGGCGGGGGCACCGGAAGTCACCGGAGCTGCTGCGGCGGAGGAGGAAGACGGCGTCGGAGGAGGGACGGAGACACGCTCGCAGGAAGGGCACATGGTGAGAGTGGTGGGAGGAGCCATGTGCATGTAGAACTGAGGCGACAGCTTCAACGCCCTCAGCTCCGTCACTTCTTTCTGAAGCCTCCTGTTCTCTTCCGTCAGATTCTCGCAGCACCTTCTCAAGAACTCACAGTCCACCTCCGTCTGCTTCAGCTTTGTCCTGTCCCAATACAAATCCTTCCCTTCAGTATATACATATATATACACACACAAACAGAGAGAGAGAAATCTATAGAAAATGATGTCTTAATCGCTACCTTGCTCTTCTGTTCTGGAACCAAACTTCAACTTGTCTCGGCCTCAGCCCCAGCTGCTTCGCCAAAGCCAGCTTTTGTTTCTGTAACAGTTACAACCAAAGACCCATGAATCTCCGAATCACCGCTTCCACAGAAATTTTATGAATTTAGATACGGGTGAAACGTACCGGATTCAGAGTACTGTGCTCCTTGAAGGTCTCTTCAAGAACAGCCGATTGATCTTTCGACAGCCTCAGCTTCTTCCTCGACGTGTCGCCGTCTTCTTCGTCGCTGATCCCGCGGGAACACAGCGGATCTGTGTCGTGTTCCTCCGATCCGTTGGTTTCTCGCTCGCTTCTCTTCCCACTTGCGCTGGAGACGGTGCTGTTGGGGGACGATACGCCAGCGTCGTCGTCGCAGTCCGCCGCCATCGACGGCGGCCGATTCACGTCGATGCCCCGGAGGAAGGTTCTTGTGCCTAAACGACATGACTCGGGGTTTGGAGCTGCATGCATGAAAAAGAAAATAAACAAAACAAAAAAAAGTGAGCCCTATGTTTTGATCCGTGGAGAAAAACAAATATAAAGATTTTTCTTTCTGAGACATCAAGACGTGGGTTTCGCGAATTTTTCCGGTGAAATGGAAGTTTTCATAACTGGGAAGGAGAGTTTCTGTTTGGCAGCCGAGAAGAGGAAAACGATGAAAAAGCAGTGAACTTCAGAAATATGATTTTCACAGGAAAAAAAATGAATGCTTTATTCGGACGAAAAAAAGGTTGGAAATAAAATACAGAGGAGAGTAGACGTCGAGAAGTCTGTTTGTTTCTCGGGAAAGTGAGGTAAGTTTTTTAAAATGGAGAAGAAAGAGAAAAAAAATCCCAGATCCGAGCGTACCTGAAGAATTAAAACAATCGTTCCACGGAGATTTCCGGATCAAATCGAACGGAGAAGACGAAGAAGATACAGAAGCAGACGGATTCAGCTTTTGATTCATCTGATTCTGGGGAAAACTCAAGCTCAGGCTCAGACCCAGGTCGTCTTTTTCGACTATCATCTTTTCTCTAAAGTTTTCTCGGGAAACAAACAGAAACCCCACGAGAAAATTGCACTTGACTCCGTTTGCGCAATAAATTTCTCTGCTTTTTTTTTTCCTTTTTGAGAGGGTTGATGAGTTGAATGATGAATGATGAGCATACGAGAGGAGGGGTTAATATAGTGGCGAGAGTCGTGTTTGTTTTTTATTTTATATATATATATATATTTCGTACCTTTTATATAATAATAATAATAATAGTTTCGTTCAATCATGGGTGCGTGACAAGCTGGGGGCAAAAGAAATTATTTTTATTTTTGTTCAAATAATCGTGACAAAAAAAGTTACGGTCTTTTGCCATCGAAATAATTTTATAAGCACAAACTATGCTTCTTTGTCCCCCCCCCCATCTGTTCAATTATTAAAAGCTACACATACTTGTCCCTCTTGAATATGATAAAATAATCATTTCAGGAAAAAAAAAATAATTTAGTAACGTTAATATATATATATTGGTATTTTTGTTAGAGTTAACGATAACAATATTCATTAAATTGTGAATTAAAAGAAAAGATAACTTATACTACATCCGTTTTAGGAATGAAAAACTCTTTTGAAACATTGAGGTGTTGAATATTGAAATTCAATGTTTAACTCTTTTTGTATCTCTTGATACATGCCACCATTTTTAAGATTTATACAAAAATATACCTAATGGGTGTGTGTACATACAAACATCCAGCTCTAATTAAATCATAACGTAAAAAAAATGGATTTACCTCTATTACAGGATATAAAAGGAGTACTTTATTTTAAAAGTCAATTGAACTGAAGTTCCGAACTCTATGGTAATTTTTTAAAAAAATAAATAAGCAAACATATTTGAATTTCAAATCAAATAAAATATTATAACTTTCTACGATTCGTAAAAAAAATAGAAAAATGCATAATATAATATGTGGAAGACTGTGGGAAAATGGGCAGAACTGGTCAATTTTCTTTAAAGGCTGGGAATTAGGTTTGAGGACGTGACCAAAAAACAAAAGACTTGAATAGTAAAATGAAAAGGTTAAAAAAACAAAAGGCTTATAATTAGATTAACAGACTTTTAATACTAATTTTTTTAATATTTATAAAATAAAAAAGTCTGCTTTTTTTAAAGATTGATTTTTTTAAAAGTAAAAATGATTAGGATTATTAACGGATTTTCCAATGCCTTTTACTCTTTTTTTTAATGTTGGGCCATACATAAATGAGTCAAAATAAGAAAACGGTTGAATTCAAACTTCCTTTTGTGTTTTTTCTTGTTCTAACGCATGACGCTTGGGTTTTACTTTTTGTCATTGAACCACTAAAAAAAGTTACGCTTTGATTAAATAATGGAAAATAAGTTATTGTGTCCCATAAATGTTTCTATTTATTTATATACATGGAATAATAAAATAGTTGTGAAATGTTTCCTCTTTTGTAATTGTTATTTTAAAATTGAAATAATTAATATCCTGTTTTCCTAGATAGTAGATACTCCTTCCGTTTAGTTTAGTTTTATTTGACGTTTTAACTTTTAATACACATGTTAAGAAAAAATATATTTTATCTAAAATACCCCGATTAATTATCATTATCTTAACTTTTTTTATGTATTATTGTAATTATTCATTATTAATAAAGGATAATTTCGGAAAAAGTATAAAAAAAATACATACAAATATCAAAACGTCATTTATTTTAAAACAAAAAATTGACTCCAAAACGTACTAAACAGAGGGAGTATTATTTGAAGTTACCATATCAGAAAAAAAGTATATATATATATATATAAACAGGTCGTCGATTATTAGGTGCGTGATTTTTCGTCGCTACGAATATTCAAGCATCCGAAAGTTTGTGGGCCACCACCATTCACACATGTTAGAACGGGGAGATCCAACGGCTGTGATTACGATAAAGGAAAAGGGCAGGAGATCAAAATCCAACGGTTGAAATCGTTTATAAGTAGAGATAAATCTTTTTATCTGGAAGGACATGATTGGAACCCGACACATTAACTTTTCATATCTATCAGATTTTTTTGTAATCAATGTGGGTCCATTATAAAATTTTCAAATTTATAACCATAATTTTCTCAAGCACAATAATAATATAGCTCATAAGCGGCCTTACCCACCAAAACATTATTAAAAATAAATAAAAATATCAATTGATTACGTGATTGATTCTCCCCGTAGAGATTAATAATTAATTGTTGCAACACATTAATAATTTAATCATTGAATGAAATATTAATCCGTTGGCTGTATTTCGAACAAAACAATCTGATTTTCAAAATCTAAAAATTAATAGTTGAGTAATTAAATCCACGTAATTAATCTGATATTATCCTTCCAAATGGTTTGTACCATTTCACTGCGATGAGTTGTTAATTGTCCGATCATTACGTTGTTTTATATGTAATTATGATAATACGAAAAAAAAATATTTGGGATTCTGCTATATACACTTCAACATATATCTTACTATTTTGATATAACTAATGTTCGGAAACAATGTTAAATACATGAGAATTTGAAGACCGACATAATCCTTAAATGATTTGCTTTGAAGGTTGCTTCGGTTACAAAGTCTCATCATTGTATAAAAGAAAATATGTTACTATGAAATCGCGTGGTAGGAAACATGTACTATCAAAATAAGCAACGATGTTTTTTTTTTAAATGTTTTAATAAATAAAAATAAATAAACAACAAATTAGTGTTATTGGATTGTTTACAAAAAGCCGACTATTTATGTTAGTGTGTGTTTTTGGGACTACAATTAATTACCAAAAAAAAAGTTACGCTATCGACATTTTAATACATAAATTATATTATTGTTTTTTCAGCGTTAATTAAAATTCCAAAGTTTTTGCACGTAACCAACAATAAACCAACATCTCGTATTGTTCTTGTGACAAATTACACAACCAAATCAGACATCAGTCTTTACAAGTCGTTATACATACAAATCTTTCATATAGTTAATAGGAATAGTTGAAATGGAAAAGAAATATTAATGTGATTATATACATTAGATATAATTGATGATAGTTCAAGTTACATTATCAATTAAGAATAAAATATATAATGTATCAAATATTTTTTACCTTATTTATTTGATTTCTGAATTATAATTTCCAATAGGAATAACGTTAACATACATAAATAACTATGAATCTATGATAATTTTATTTCAATTTATAATATTATATGTGTCATGTAAAAGTTGAATGTTCTTAATTATCGGATCGTGTCAATTGGTAATATCTTTGTCATATAAATTTCTAATACCAGTTTTATATTTTACCGCTTGAAACTAAATATAAAATCTTAAATGCAAACGACGTGAAGTTTTTTTTAAAAAATGAAGTTTTTCGTGTCGAGACAAGCAAATAGTAATACTACTACTTGATAAAACAACAATAATGGTAAGCGGAGAAAGGCTCACGTGGGTCTAACAGGTGGAAGGGCCTCGGAGCACGTGCCACTGGCACACGCGCGTGTCTGGTTGTCTCTTCACGCGCCGACAAGACCCACTCTTCACAATCATTTACTCCCGAAGACCAGGTAGAGCTCCTCATTAGCCCCCTCTGCCTTTTCCCCATTTCTTTCGGCATCAACCATACCTATATTGGCATGCCTTCTTTAATCATACACATATATACATGTATATACACATATACATGTATATACATATGTGTGCGTGCGCGTTTATATCGCATCACAACGTCTATACATTTATTGCGCCGTGGGGAGCGAGTGAAATTGTTGCGTTTTCTTTCATACGAGATTATATGAGATATATACGTTGTTTAGAAAAAAGTATAATTTTCTCCCCGCCAAATTAAATTCACAGAAGATAATATATGCATGTATTTCAGTTGGAGTTGTTAAAATAATGTGCGTTTTCCTCTTCCTTTTCTTATATCCTACCATATAAAGTATGTAATTTGTCCCAAATCTAAACCAATCTTTTTTTCTATAAATAAAATAAAATATTACACAGTTTTCAATCAATTTATTGAAAATTTATAAAAGTTCGAAAATTTTGAATTTGCCTACCCTCTTGCCTTTTAAAAATATTGTATTGCATATATATACATATTAAAAATGTACAAATTATTGTTTTAATTTATTTATAATAAAGTGCACGGTTCATTTGTTCTCAGAACCAACAACTCATAAAATTGCTAATTAAATATTTAAAAATGCGTACTAAGTATTTTAATAACCTGTAAAATTATATTTTAAAGTTTAAAAGATAAAAACTGATATAAACCCTAATTTTAGATCTGAATCGTTGGTAGATTGAAATTTTGGACTGTAAAAGGTGCTTAACTAATATTTAAAAAATAGATCATTTTTATAAATTTTAATCTAGAAGTTATTGTACAAAAATATCCGATATTAAATGCCGAATTTGTCTCCTATTTAACAAAATATACATAGGTCCATGTTAACCATACTTATTCCATTTTGGGACAAATTTAAAATTGGCACCTAAACAAGAAATTTTAAAAAAATCATAGAGCGATCTGTAATAAACTCATTATTGGTGTATCCCATCTCTCCAGGTTTTCATGCAACTTGGTCCCCCGGTCTCACTCAGCAAACAAATTACAGTATTACCCTTTTCCACGAAATGACAAAAGAGCCCTCGATACGGAAGTGGGGACATATATAAGCGACTCGTCCACCGCTATGTACGCCGTGTACTGAATAATGGACCAATTATTGAGTTTCTCCGGACCAATCTTATTGTCGGATGAAATTAGATTTAAAAAATTATTATACTTGAATGAGTGGCATTTAACTTTTTCCTAAGTCGTTTATTATATTTAAATGTAAAAAACTCTCTTCTAACTTCGCGGTTCTAAATGTAATTAATGCTTGTAATAAGGAAAGTATATCATACAGTATATATATTGCCATGGATGTTTATAATATGATTCAACATATGACCGAACGGCTCGCATAAATGCGGAATCATATATTGTTTCGAGGAATGATTAATTGGTGCAGATGTAGATAACTATACAAGAGAACATATTGTGGGATGTCCCCACGTGTTTCTCTGTCATAGGGAGACACTCAAATCATGCATCTTTCATAAGCGGGCCCCACAGCTCACTTTCCTTACACCGTACGAGGCTTCTCTGTCCACTAACCCGCGTGACACCACGTGAACTTTTTGCCCGTTTTGGTTCCTTTTATTTCCTTCCCCCTTCTATTTATTTATTTTTTAATATTTTTGTTCTAAATTAAGAAATTACGTTTGAAATATTTTCTTATTTAAGATGAAAAGTTTACGCGATTGTTTTGCCCCATCTCTTTTTTTTTTTCCTTACTTCATCCTTTTTTATCACACACGTGATGATCTAGTTTTTTATCTCTAAATCAGCATTATTTTATAAAATAGTTGGATCAGTCGTATTCAAACTTTTTAATTAAAATTAATGGAAATGTGTTACAAAAATTAAGAAAAATATTATAATTATAAGGGTACGAACAAACTTCATGGAAATAAGGTTAAAAGCATCTTTCATGGAATCACATTATCTGAAATCAAATAAATATGAAATGAAATTATGTCCCTTCAAAAACTATTACCTGTAAAACGATTCTTTTTTCTTTCCGAACAACTACGAACTACTATGTTGTCACTTGTCATAATCGAATAATTGATGAAGAACCGATGTAAGAATGTACTCTCATGGCCATGCATCTTGCCATATCTCTTTGTCCACTTGTATATATATCCTAACCACGGGATGGAGAGCGAAGTAAATGATATATATATATATATATTGATAATCAAGAGATTCATTAGGTCTTGTTCACTTAATCCCCTAAATCCGAAATTAATCTTTAATCACATAATTAATTGCACCCTTCTTCATTTAGTGGGTTAAATAACATACATTTCTTTACATACAAAAATACTTTATAAATATTTACAGAATTTTAATTACTATATATATTAGAATTTAATACATTTAACATTTTTTATTTACTTTTAGGTTTGGTATAATTAATAGCAATTATATTGCAAAAATACCTTAATTGTTTTTTTTACACATATATCACTTCATACGGAAGGCTAACATATCGTTTTTTTATTCGAAAAGCATTGAAGTAAAGAAAAAAAAATGAAAAAAAATGATTTATGATATATACACGCCCACGACGAGGTGGGCCCAGCGATCTAGAGAGATTGAAAACCATGTGATGCTCACGTGAACAGGGGCCCACACAGTTCGACCTGGTCCGGTTTCCTTTGGGTCCAAATCCAAAAGATAAGAAGATTGTATAATTACCGTTTTGTCCTCAGAACGTAATCTTTCAATGATTTGAAAGTCCGCGGGTCCCACGTGTTTTTCTGGAACCGGGTTCTGTCTCTCGACAAACGTGACTCCGCCGGTTTTGGATTTCTTCGCTCTCTTATGATGCCGACGCAATCTCAGTTCTTCCATTTATTTTCACCTCCCTAAAATATTTTCTATTAAAAAAAATAGTTTTTTTGTTTAAAAAAAATAGGTTTTTCAATATACAGACAGGGACGATTAAACAATTTTTATTATTTCCAGTCGTCTATACAATGAGACAATATATATGTATATTGGTTTCAGCTTTGTTATTTAATCGTATTGATGCTGTAACTTGGCATATAAAAAAAATGATATTCAGTTATTTTACGTACCGCCTTATATTTACATTCCTATTCCTTATATTATATATTTATAGTATTGCCATAACCCAAAAAATGGTTTCCCATACAATTTGATGGAAGATATTATTCGACAACCGTATTTTGTCGCTGGAAGTGGAATTGGAAATAGAACCCTAATAATACAGCAGTCCGTATGCATATGAAAATTACTCACATTATATTGTACATTAGGATACTACTATGGTCCATTTATGGTTGCATATATTATATATAATATGTACAAATATACACATGAAAAGAACAGGCATTAATGTGAGAGGGGACAGGGATTATGCGTAAACAAACGCAAGTTGCAACCGCTCATAACTTTGGTTTCACGTGGAAGGGACGTGGGGCACGAATTTTCAGGCGACATCATCATCAGACAACACTAGATCACACGTGTGCTCTCGTAAGCCCCACACGTGCGATATCGGTCAAAACTTTAACGGTCGAACCCACGCCATCCCCTGTTGGATCTGAATTATTAATTTTTTTTTGGGATTGGAACGGAAATTATCATCAACGCATAATCGGCAACGCCGATCAGATGTAAGGGCGACGAGAATTCCTATAGCCTTTGGTCACGGGTTCTCTCGTGCACGTGCGGCCATTTCCGAGAACGTGCGAAAATACAATAAGCCGTAGTTGTGTTCGGACAGTTCGGTGTTGGTCCCACACCGGTTCTACGCCATGTGACCGGCTGAGCTGGTCACATGTGACTTACCGTTGATCAAAATCTGTAATTCGGTTTAATCTAATTCTTAAAAGCCGTGCCGCACGTACGGTATATGTTTATTTACAGATTTACCCCTGTTATGATCATCATGATGCGCAAATGGGGAGGACAATTCGGGAAATTCAAAGTGGGCATGTTTAGTTGGTTGTCATAAGTATTATTTTTTTGGTAAAATGGTTGTCATAGTTATTGACCATTGGGAGGTCATAAGGGTGAGTGGTGTGGCTCACTAATTTGTTAATGGCCGACTTGTGATAAAATCTTTCGGGGTAATGATTTGTTAGGGGAAACTAAATAATTGACGATAGATTATTCGGGCAGCACGAATAACGAATCTGCAGCTAAACACATGATTTGACTGAAATTAATGGAAGGGGGGAATTTTTACTAAGTTAATTACCCAAAACACCCCTTGGATCATCTTTAGGGATTTTAATTGAAAATCGTGTCACCCCATCTGGCTGATTGTTGTGTGGTGACGAGATCGTATGAGATCATGTGGGTGATGCAAATTGGCGCAAAGAAAATATAAAAAATATTTTAAAAAAAAACAAGAATATATATATCTATTAAAGTTTTTTTAAAAATAAAAAATTCTGAATTGAGTTGTTCAGAAAAATCTCACTGAACACGTTATAAAATATGTTTTTGGGCTAAAGGCCCGTAAGAGTTAAACGTCGAGACCCGATGAGTTATGGGCCCACCGTGAATTATGATGTGTCAGTCCATCTTATTTAAAATTGTATAATTGTAATTTAGCCCCACATTAATGGATACAGATGGACTTCTTACAAAACAAAAGGAAGAATCGGTCGTGCTTGTTTAAACAACGGTTAAACTAACGACGCATTTTCCATGTCAAAAGAAAAGCGATAATAACAAAAAACAAAGAGGTTACAACGGAACCAAAAGTCAACACATTGTATTTTTAGAAGTGTATACATTAACATATATATATATATATGTATATATATGCGATTTTTATTTTTATTTTAAATTATTTTTACGTGTGAATATTTGAGCTGAATTTGACGATATTTATTCCAACTGCCCCGGTTTTTCGTTTTCCCCCTTTTTTTTCCGCGCGAGAGAAATCTTCTCCCAACTTTCTCAGGAAAAACTACGTGACAATATTTGTCCACCTGATCTTGCCTCTGAATCCCAATTGGAGAGTCATGGAAGGAGATGATCACCTTGCCGACGAGAGGAACAAGGCCGAGTTCGACGTCGACGACATGAAGATCGTCTGGGCCGGTTCTCGCCACGCTTTCGAGATTTCCGATCGCATATCCAGCCTCGTCGCCAGCGATTCGGTGAATTCTCTCTCGCTCTTTTTTTTTCTTGTTTTGTTTTTTTAGGTTTCCCGCAATGTTCATGTCCTGAATCGGGTTTAGGATGTTCTTCTGTTTGATTTGTCGATTCCTTGGCTGCGTATCGCTGTGTTAGTTCTTTCGCAAGGACCATAGAGGTGTGTTGAGTAGGAAAGAGCTGTTTAAGAACACATTGAAGAAAGCTGCTCATGCGTGGAAGAGGATCAACGAGCTTCGTCTCTCCGGTATGGCTTTTGTTTGTTCCCCACAGCGGAATTTTCTCGTCTTTGATTCGAAATCTCTCTTATGGGGTCTTCCATGGTCTTGGTTACAGAGGAAGATGCCAGTAGACTGAGGTTTTTCATGGATGAGCCCTCTTTTGTTGATCTACATTGGGTAAATTCCTGCAATGTTCTCGTTTATGAATCTGAATTTCTTTTTTTTTTATTGTCAAGTATACTATTTCTGAGGTGGCCGTGAACTTGTTTCATTTGGTTGATGTTTCTGCCTTTTTTTCCTTTCTAGGGAATGTTTGTGCCAGCAATCAAGGGTCAAGGCACTGAGGAGCAACAGAAGAAGTGGTTAACAATGGCAAATAGGATGGAGATTATAGGGTGTTATGCGCAAACTGAGCTGGGCCACGGCTCGAACGTTCAAGGCTTGGAGACAACTGCCACTTTCGATCCAAAGTCAGATGAGTTTGTCATACACAGTCCGACTCTAACTTCTGCCAAAGTGAGTGAAAGAAGGCTAAGCCTTTGATTTAATTTGCCAGTCTTTTACCTTTTTGGCAAGATTTCATGTGTGTTGATTTCTTGGATAGTGGTGGCCTGGTGGGCTCGGGAAAGTTTCAACCCACGCTGTTGTGTATGCTCGTCTCATAACCGATGGTGAAGACTATGGTATCCATGGTGAGTACCCGAATGGCCGTCCGGTATTGCTTTTCGTTCTCTCTTGATCCGGTAACGATTACCAAAGCTTCCTCTTTTCAGGATTCATTGTGCAACTGCGCAGTTTGGATGATCATTCTCCCCTTCCTGGCATAACTGTCGGCGATATCGGCACGAAGTTTGGGAATGGGGCATACAATTCAATGGACAATGGATTTCTTATGTTTGATCATGTCCGAGTTCCAAGAGATCAAATGCTCATGAGGTTCTCTGATGTGGATTACCCTTTATACTTTTTCTTAAGAAATAACTCCTGCTTTAAGACTGATGGGTCGGTTTTGGATTTTGTTCTCTCCAAAAAATGCCCAGGCTGTCAAAGGTTACAAGGGAAGGGAAGTACATGCCATCAGATGTTCCAAGGCAACTGGTTTATGGTACCATGGTGTTTGTGAGACAAAAAATCGTGGCTGGTGCTTCCGTTTCTCTCTCTCGGGCAGTTTGTATAGCTACAAGGTACAGTGCAGTGCGGAGGCAGTTTGGCTCGCAGAATGGCGGTCGTGAGACACAGGTACTTTCCGAAAAGCTGCTGGCTTCTACCTATAACCATGATTCTTTTGCCCGGGCGGCATGTCACTGTAACTTGGATGAGGATGAGAGTCCAATTCAAAGTAGATACTTACCAGTCTTTAGTGATATATGGGTAGAACACTTTCTCTCGGATATAATTTCTCCGAGGAATGTACTCGTATTCTTCCAAGTCTGCCGACAATCTCACACTTGTTACTCGATTAATCATAACACACTATGCTTCTGAAACAATTTCTCAACGATTGTCTCTGTTATTTTGGTAACAGGTTATTGACTATAAAACTCAGCAGAACAGGCTGTTTCCTTTGCTGGCATCTGCCTACGCCTTTCGATTTGTCGGGGAGTGGCTGAAATGGCTCTACTCTGATGTAACTCAAAGATTGCAGGCTAACGATTTCTCAACACTGCCCGAGGCTCACGCATGCACTGCTGGACTGAAGTCTCTGACTACCTCTGCCACTGCGGTATATCCATCCATTTCTGATTTATATTTGGACAATGATGTGATTATAAATTCCCAAAATATAACTGGAACGTTATTTGTTGGCTGCAGGATGGGATTGAAGAATGCCGCAAATTATGTGGGGGACATGGCTACTTGTGGTGCAGTGGGCTCCCTGAACTGTTTGCTGTCTATGTGCCTGCCTGCACTTATGAAGGAGACAATGTCGTGCTTCTCTTACAGGTTATATTGTGTTCATTTACTAAATCTCCCCTCTTCTCTTTTACTGTACAAAACAGTTCCATAGTTTTTTGGCTTCTGTTGAAGTTACACGCTGATATTTTCGAATTTCGTTGCTTGACTTCTTGTTTTTGGACTGATGCATGAAACTGTCATCTGTTTTTTGTTTTTAATAATCACTGTCGGAAGGCAAAGCTAGGATATACTTAGCTCCAGGCTATGAGCTTCTTCCCTTGTACTTATATCATTCATATTCTCTTAAAAAAATCATGGCATCAGGTCGCAAGATTTCTCATGAAGACAGTTTCCCAGCTGGGTTCGGGAAAGCCTCCTGTCGGGACTACAGCCTATATGGCTCGGGCTGAGCACCTTTTGCGGTGCCGCTCTGGTGTTCAAAGGGGTGAGTTTCCATGTTTTCCGTTAAAGTTTTCATTGTTTCTTGATTAATTTGATTCTCGATTTTAAGTTTTGTAATGTCCTCGTTTTGTTTTTATGTGGGGGGCATGCAGCCGAGGACTGGCTAAAGCCTAGTGTGGTAATGGAGGCCTTCGAAGCAAGGTCTATCCGAATGGCTGTTGCTTGTGCAAAAAACCTCGGCAAGTTTGAGAATCCCGAACAAGGTATGTCTCATTTCTCTTCTCACAAGAAAAAAAAAAGATGAGAATGTTTTCTCACTTTTATTATTATTTTTGTGAAAAAGGATTTGCAGAGCTTTCGTCCGATTTGGTTGAGGCCGCAGTCGCTCACTGCCAGTTGATTGTTGTTTCAAAGTAAAGCTTCCTCCTCAGAATAGCTATGGGCCTCTCCCCTTTTTGTTTTTGGTAACATATTGGTTTTCTGCTCCCTATTATCCGAAAATCCTGAAGACGTTCGAGAGATCCTGAATTGGGCAAAAACATCCAAACACTCAGCGGTGAACAACGTTTCCTACATCGAATCTTCTAACTGAACTTTCGTAGTGCAGGTTTATCGAGAAACTGAAAGAAGTAATCCCCGGGAAGGGCGTGAAGAAACAGCTCGAGAACCTCTGTTACGTGTACGCGCTCTACCTTATGCACAAGCACCTCGGTGATTTTCTTGGCATGGGTTGCATCACTTCCGAGCAAGCCTCTCTCGCCAATGTTCAGATTAGATCCTTGTACTCTCAGGTCTGGTTTTATGACATTTCTCTCGCATGGCCCATTTGTCTGAACAAGACGTTTATTGTTACTGCTATTTGTTGTCCCTACCATCTTTAGGTTCGTCCAAACGCGGTGGCACTGGTCGACGCGTTCAACTACACGGACCATTACCTGGGCTCAGTGCTCGGCCGCTACGACGGTAACGTTTACCCGAAGCTGTTCGAGGAAGCGTGGAAGGATCCTCTCAACGACTCCGTCGTTCCCGACGGCTACCATCAATACATCCGACCTCTTCTCAAGCAGCAACTCCACACTGCTAGGCTTTGAAGTTATGTTTCTTCAATTACTGCTTGCAGATAACTTTATAATAAATGTTTTTAAGGCACTTATTTTACAAAATCTTTCACACAAAAAAAGTAAAGATTATTGAATTGTAATTTGATATCTAAAATTGTCCTGATTCAGACAGCAATATGTGCATAAGATTGTGCATTACCTTTTGCATAACAAGCAGATAAATTTCAGTGTTATGCATTGTAAAATCTGGTATTTAGTTGTTGGCATCTTTACTATGCATTTTAATATCCAAATTAGGCAGTTGAATATAGGATGCAAGTATGATTATTGTGTTCCTGAATATATATATATATATATATATATATAATGCTAATAAACTGGTTAGAAGTGAAAGAGGTTAAGACATCTTAATTAAAAGTAATTCTACTAAAAATATATTTGGAAAATGTAAATGCAAATGAATCATGTAAGGTGCCCATATGGATATGGCCATATCATCCAATTTTTGTTGGTTTCATTTTGGATTTCCATTGTTTTGTAGTAAAATAGTTGTTGATAAAACAGACCCGACAACGAAACCTAACGCCTAACTCGTCAATGCACCAAAGCCACAAAAACTGCCCGAGTGGTTATAGTTCTTAATTAGGTTACGGACTCACAATATTACTCTTCACGACACACACACATATATATATATATATATATGTTATAAATTTACTAAAATACGTTATTTTGTTTTTATTTATTTGTATGAGGAAAATATCATTATATTTGGTCCGACTTATCGACATCGGCATGTGAATATTAATATCTTACACAGAGCCGGAACCAATGAATTGTATAATAAATGGATGACGGAAGTGGACAGATAATTTACTTTCCATGATTACTACAGAGCGGAGACGTACGGTTTTTTTTGTTTGTTTGGAATCTCGTTTGTGGTATAGAATTCTGAGAGTTAAAAGCTCGAAAGCTATGTTCTACCTCTCGTCGAATTCAATAGAAATGTGTGTCTCTGTATATATGTTTTTATATATATATATATGCATATAACGTGCTAAAATTTGGTAGGCCGAGGTGGGGGCATATATGGGCACGAAACGAAATAGCGAAACTTACAAAAAGAAGGAAAAAAATATTAGCAACTTTAGAAAGCTTCAAAGGGTCCACAATTTACACTTAAATCTTTCTATCTCTCTCTGTAATATATATATATATATATATATATATATATATATATTGACCATATGGTTTTAGTTTATATATGCATTGATCATTCTACCTAAATTCCAGTCCGTTAAAATTTTGGTAGAAAATAATAATACGGAGTCAAGATTTCATTTCTGTGTTTGGATTTTTTTTTTTTTTGGTTAACTTCTGTGTTTGGATTTTCTTTACTGAAAAATCTTGTATAAAAGTAAACGTCAAAGTGTACAGACAGTTAACAAGTGTAACACAACTGGATGGGAACATAATTGGACAGGTCCACAGAGAGAGAGAGAGAGTATAAGCACATTATTACCTTTAGAGTAAAAATAATGTATATAAAAAGTTTATTTATATATATAAATATTTGTGTGTGTGTATATATATGGCTTGGCTCTACACGTTAATCATGCTGGTTAAGTACGCATATGCATATGTTAGAACTTAGAAGAATCATATACCGGCCTCTTCTCTTCAACACTGTTTCTCCTTAAGCACACTCTAAAACCCTAATTATTATTTTTCACCAATCATTTCCAATTGTACATTTAACACCCTTCACAGAATCAACATGCAGCAGCACCAGCCCGCGATGGCGTCGGAGAGAATGATCAGGAAGAACCCTAATAAGAAAAGACGAGAGAAAGACGATGGCGATGGTGATACTGATTCCAGGGAACAGAGGGGTGTTTCTGAGCGAACAAGTTTTCGAGGGGTCAGAATGCGACAATGGGGAAAATGGGTGTCGGAAATCAGAGAGCCCAGAAAGAAGTCGAGGATATGGCTGGGGACGTTCTCCACGCCGGAGATGGCGGCGCGTGCACACGACGTGGCTGCCTTGGCCATCAAAGGCGGGGGGGCTCACCTCAACTTCCCCGAGCTTGCCTGCCATCTCCCCCGCCCCTCCAGCTCCGACCCCAAAGACATCCGGGCCGCGGCGGCTGCGGCGGCGGCTGAGCTTCTGAGGTCGCCCGAGAGCACGGTGACGTCATCTCCGTCGCTGACCTCCGTCGCCGACGACGCCTTCTCCGACCTCCCCGATCTATTCCTCGACGACCTCACTCACAAAATCAACGGTTTCTGGGATTCGTTGCCCTACGGAGAAGAAGAACCCTTCTTCCTCGCGAACCAGTAAACAGAGAAGGATGGATCTAAAAATGGTTCAGTTCGGTTCGTATACGTTCCTCATTTCTTTCGCCGGGAAATTTCAGGTATAGATGCGACATTGCCGGCGAAGGAATTCCGACGAGTTCCCGGCGAGAGGGAAACGTTGTCGTTTTGTGCGTCTGCTGGAAAAAATCTGTGTACGTATATGTGGGACAAGTTCCAATGTGTGATGAGTAAGTAAAATCTTTTTTTTTTGTACAAATACGACCTCTATGACAAAGTTTCCGGTTGGAATGTCAAATTTGGGGAGAAAATGTACATTCTGAATGATTTGGATATTAACCTCGAGATTAGTCTGGATACTGGTTCAGAATACCCTATTACAAAAAAAAAAGATGAATGTGACAAAGTCCCATGTTTTAATTGATGTAGATGATGTGCTGTTTATTGCCCAAAACTGCATTTATGCCCCTTAATTTCTTCTGATTTCGGTTTCTGCCAACTGGATTTCCTTTCCTTCACACATTTTTCTATATCCATTTTGTTCCAATGAAACGTTAATGACAGTTTTAATCCCATGATATTTCACACATTTTTTCGTGATTTTTCAAGTTCATTTAATATGGTGTTGGGCAAAGTGATAAAAAGAAAGGGGTAAACTGCACAATGGAAACTTTATGGTATTTTCTGTCATTTTCCATTCCCCTCTTTTACTCGCCGGTTTTTTTTTTTTTTTTTTTTTTTTTTTGCTGGAGACCTTATTGGTCCTTCAAAAGTTGGATACGAAAGGGCCCGTCAGTCCATTATTTTATCAAGAAACTTAATGTAGGTTTAGTTAGTACTGATTTTCATTCTCATGTTCATATTTTGTTCTTTTTCAGTCACATTTAGTCGAAATACTAATTATTTTTATTTGTATTATATGAAAAAGATATTTGTATTATAACCAACCGCATAGATTTTTCCTTGTCTTAATAGAAAACAGACAATGTGGTAATCATTTGATTTAATAAAACAATTACTTAGCAGAGGAATGGAAAATCATATAGTATGAAGAGGTATAATACGATAGAAAGCATGTTCTTTGCTATATTATAATTTAACAACTAACCGCACCGCTGCTTATAAAATTGTGGAGACTATAGCTTAAATTTTATAAACATAGAATACTGAATTATGGTTTTTCAAAAAGTGTCGTATAAGTAATGAAAAGTATACCTTTGGCATATTTGTGAATAATTCCTATAAACCACCTATACACACATATATATATATATATATTTATACAAACAGATTTGTACAAGTAATGATAAATAATTATTATGTATATGTATGTGATATGGGCACTCCGAGGCCAAAATCAATATCATTGTCAAGTAATGACTGACAGTATTGACGATAAGATTGAGGTTTAATATTTCATTCCATGTGAAAGTTTTATTTTTATTTAAATAACTGATTAGACAATTGAATGATAATAATAATACGTTGCTTCTAGAAAATAATATCCTATGTGCATGTCGGCCATGGTTTAGCTTCCAAACCCAAATTGGGTGTTTTTTAAGAAAAAAAAAGGAAGTACATGTTTAATCGAATATTTATATAAACGACAGTTTAACCAATAATCCCCAAAACTAATCATTTCCTTCAATATTCCTAATTAATTTAGGAAATAAATTAATTATAATAGCAGATGATGAAAGTAAACATATTTCTGTGATTTATGCGTTCCATTATGTTGCAGATATTATAGTAAAATAAATAAATAAAAAAGCAAATTCGATATTATTTAGCCGTCCAAAATCTCCCTCTTATTCAATTGTTCGGGCATTATATAGCAGTAGCTAAACCCTAATAACTTTATAAATCTATTGTATATTATATTTCGATTTCGTTAAATGAATGCTACTTTCTAATTAAACCCTTCCATGCGTGTGGTGTGTGTGTGTTTTTTTGTTGATTCTATCAAATAATTGTGTCTAAATTATTTAATTAAATTTGGTGAATAAAGAAGCAAAAAAAAAAAATGGATCAAACACTTTCAAGAAGCCTATTGGAGGGAAGAAGATAGTGATGTAGAAATTTGCACGTTAGAGTGAGACCGTGTTAATTTCATCGTGACACTTTTAACATCATCATTGCCTTCCACGTAAATCGATACAGATATATATATATATACATGTGCCTATATGTATACGTGTTGTGGTGCTGTTTCGGTGACACACACCAACCCATCTTAAATAACTGGTTTTTTTTTAAAAAAATTACTTAGGATAAGATTGTTTTTTTTAAACGCTGGAAAATCAACCAAAAGTTGATCATACGCGATGATAAACCTTTCGACTCTAGGTAATAATCTGTAAATCAGTGAAACAGATAAATCATCCAAAAATATGACAGATTCGGTGGAGAGTGAAATCGAATTCATGATTTTTTTAATTAAAATATTATTTTTGTTTTGTCACTATATATGTTTTCTAAGCACATTTTCAATTTTTTTTTTTACATTATTTAATGGTCCAATGACAGATATGGTCATAGTTATGGTTATCTTAACCGAATCTACCCACCAACTAATATAATCTTTAATGAATTCGCCAATATATGTGTATAGTGACCGAACTACACGACCGTATAATCCTTAATGCAGTCAATTTTCTAAATGGCGGGGGTAGAATAATATCGTAGTTACAATGTATGAATCGGAGAAACTAAAATGTCGAAATTCATTGTTCAATCACAACGACTTCGCCATTATTACTTGTACTATATTTTGACATATAACGAAAGACAACATTAAAAAACGACAAAAGGAAAGAAAAACTAAGATTAAATTGAACCAATCATTACAACCACCATCCCATGGGTTGAACTATCCAATACAATGTTGAATTCTATGTATTCAAAAAGATAAATCAAAATACCGAAAAATACCAATAACTTACTTTATATATAGAAATTTAAAAGAAAAATAGTTGATCCGAAAATTTTTTAAATTCGGTGCAAGCTTATTCTTGTAATTTTGTTCTATATGAGCATGTTTGAATTTATTAGAATGATAGCTACATATTCTTCCGTCAAATCTTTTATGTGTATTCCATCATAATTCTACAATATTTAAATGGATATTCATTTGAACTTTTTCGATTTTAAAAAAGATATAGTTAGTTGGAACGTCGGACAAATTTTTGGATTATAAAAAAAATTAGATGGATATAATACCATATCATTAAAAACATGAAAAAGAACATACCAAACTTAAGAGACAAGGCTGCTTTTAGAAGCTTGAATTCGACTGACACGGAAAATTGGTATAGACTTGATTTACTCTATCCGTCTCTCTCTCTCTATATATATATATATGTGTGTGTATATATAAGTAAGACTAATTTTAGAAACTTTATTTACCAAAAAAAATCGGGGGGATATTTTACAGAAATAAAATAAAGTAAAAAGAGGGGAGAGGAGGACAAAACAAGAAGAAAAGAGATTTAAAAAAAGAAGAAGCGTATAAAGTGATGCCATTTGTTGGCACTCCAAAGTCCAAACCAATGATCACATGACATCAACTGTCCCATGCATTTGACTCTGTTTTTTTTTTTATGTACATGACATTTGTTGTCATTTCGACATATACAATAATAACACGTAGAGGACCATATATGTAAGATTATTTCATGGGCCATCACTTGTCTTGTCTACAAGGATAACCCCTTTGTTGGAATAGAAACAAAATATAGAGATTTGATATGATTGATAATAATTAAAGATATTATATCAATTGAGAATAAAATATATATCGTGTCAACTATATTTTGACTTATTTGTTTCTTTCGTATCTTTATTTTCTTGTTTCTTTCAATAACTTTTTATATAAATGTATGGATTATTTTTATTGTAATGTAACAAGAAGAAGAGATGTAACAATAAAAGTGTTTCCGTTCTTTTATCTTTTATTCTTTCTTTTTAATTTAATTTCCGCATTTTATTTTTCAATATGGTTAAATCAATCTTGAGGGGAATGTTGAAGAATAATATATTTAGATCAAATGGAGCAAGATTTGAGGAGCTTAATTTGATTTCTACCCGTTACCTTTTAAATCTGTAAGATCTCATGAGATTGCCATTGTTTAAGCAATCACATGATTTACTCTATATTCTTGCCTTAGAGACAGTATATGTTTGCTTCTTTCCTCTTTTACATATCTTTTTGTATCTATTTATTTACATGTGTACAAAACAAATGTTTATGAAATAATATACGGATTGGAGATTATATCTCTATTCTTCTTTCCAACACTTTACAATCTTCTTCTTCATTTTATTCTCTAAACCTATCTTTCTTTTTTTGCTAAAACATCACAAACACTAAAAAAATCTTCATAATTATCCCCCTATATTTTAGCTCTTAGTTTCTATACCACTGTTTGTATCTTTCGTCTCCGTGTTTTTTGTCTGATTAGACGATTTTGATGGGATATCATCATCATCATTACTATTATTATTATTAAACGTTATGTTATGCTCCTATTTAAGTTTTGATTAAGATCTGAGAATTAATCTATAATTTATTTAAGATTTTTTAAAACACTTTAATGACTAATATATATATATATCGAATATCCGGAGGTTATTAATTATACACAGAGAGCGCTCTTAAAATAAAATTTGCAAGACTAATGAAGCTAGTTTGAAAAATGGGCTTGGGCCCATGCCAATTTAACAATCCAACAGTGGGCTTTAGATAGGCCCAGGCAATTACTCACTTTGTCTTGGGTCAAAAGGTTTCTAAATACAATGTCCATACATCGAAGTTCAAGTTATTCAACGCTTCACTACGGGCTCATAGGATTGGGCCCACATCTATGAAACAAAAAGGTGGGTCTCGGCCCAAATCATGCAACGACGTCGTTAGGGCTCTCGACCTTCTAATCCTTTATAATCGTAGAAACCCTAGTCCATCTTTCTCTGGCGGAAACCCTAGTTCCTGCAGCTCTGTGGAACTTCTCGAAATGGGTAATTGATGCACACTTTTGATCTCTTTCTGTCGGTTGTTCGATCGATCTAGATTTCCTTGCAGCTGGACGTGTTTTCTGCGTTTTGTATCTGTTGTTGGGATTTTCTCTATTGCTGATTTGTAACTGGTGGTTCTGAGAAACTGATTGGCTTTTTTGATGAAACATAGGGGCGTACAAGTACGTTTCGGAGCTATGGAGGAAGAAGCAGTCGGATGTTATGAGGTTTCTGCAGCGGGTGAGGTGCTGGGAGTACCGACAGCAACCCTCCATTGTCCGTGTCACGAGACCTACTCGTCCTGACAAGGCTCGTCGTCTGGGATACAAGGCTAAACAGGTCAGTTAGTGTTCATATCCCGATCCTTTTGTTTTGTTGTTGTATCTCTTGAAACCTGATGTATTACTGATCTTATGTCTCGTTCATTGAGAAATTGTAATCGCACTACTCGTTAAATATCTTGTAAAAGCCTATGTTAATTTTCGTCAGGTTCAGCGCATGAACGGGTCGTTCTCGGGCTGTTGAATTGATTTTTTTGGAACTTGGTTTGTCATTTCTGTGTAGATTTTTAATGGGAATATTCAATATGTGTGCTCTCTTTATGAAGCGTGTGTAGATGTTTGAATGCGTCCACCATGAACAGCTACATGAGTTTGCCCAAGCTGTGTTCTCTGCCTGAATCTAGCTGTTTTTGTCCTCACTGGCATAGTTATCTGATAATTTGTATCTTTAAATAAATTCTTGTAAGGGGTTTGTGGTGTACCGAATTCGGGTGAAACGTGGTGGAAGGAAGAGGCCAGTGCCGAAGGGTATCGTGTATGGTAAGCCCACAAACCAGGGTGTCACCCAACTTAAGTTCCAGCGGAGCAAGAGGTCTGTTGCTGAGGAGCGTGCTGGCCGGAAGCTGGGTGGTCTCAGAGTCCTCAACTCCTACTGGATCAATGAGGTCTGCTATCTCATCTCCTTTTTAGCGTTTACCATTTTCTTCTGTGACATAAATTATGAACCGAGTCTTGAACATAAAAAAACATGTGAATTATCATTACACATTTCGTGTAATCTCTTAACAGGATTCGACGTACAAGTACTATGAGGTCATTTTGGTAGACCCGGCCCACAAGGCGGTGAGGAATGACCCGAGGATGAACTGGATATGCAACCCGGTGCACAAACACCGTGAGCTTCGTGGGCTAACGTCAGAGGGAAAGAAGAACAGAGGACTCCGTGGAAAGGGGCACCTCTACCACAAGAACCGTCCCTCTCGCAGGGCCACCTGGAAGAGAAACAACACTCTCTCCCTCCGCCGTTACCGTTGAGGATTTGCTTCTGTTTCGTATCAGTCTTTTCCATGGCATTGGCTGGACGTCTCTGTTGTGTTTCAGGAATTTTTGACAATTTCGAGTATTATGTTTTTTCTTCTATGCCTCCTTTTGAATCTGAGATACTTTATTTATCGTTTTTTGTTGTCGTAGTCTTTTGACGTCATACTTTTCTTCTAAGATGTTTAATTTTTATCGTTTTTTGTTGTCTTGGTCTTTTCGTCGGGTTTTTTTTTTCGTCACTTTGGTCGGAGGAAGTCGAGTCGTCGGCTGTTGTGTTCTCTGTCTTGGCTGACGTGGGAGCTGTTTCAAGAATGGACCAATGATAAGAGAACACGTGGACGTAATCTGGAACGCGTGGGATTCTCAAATGGACCTTTAACGGTGAATCTAGAGTTCGAAGTTTGAACCCATTGTCTGGTTTGGGGGCAAAAGTTCATGTTTGAGGGCCCATATCTATGACTGGTCTTTGCCATCTCTGTGAGGCCCATTAACTTTAATCTAATCCAATTTTATTCTATTCCAGGTGTCAGCTCTTGGTTTATTTAAATTCTATTCTGTCCCAAATTTATGCACGTTTTTAAGCTCTAGTGGATTTTAATCTAATAGAAATCTGAAGAGAATAGGACAGAAACGGAAGAAACTCACGCTTCCTGTAATCTGTTTACTTGCAAAGTGAGAGAATAGGACAGAAACTGAAGAAATAAAAAAACAAAATGTGTTTATGCAGGCAAATTAATATAATTCAACAAGAAGTTTCCAACACAATTTTTTTCTTTTTTGAGATCCAAAAAAAACGAGAATCTGAAGCCAAAAGCTGGAATTTACACGTAAAAAAAAAGGAAAGATACAGGGAAAAGCGACTAAAGTTCCAAAAAAAAAAAAAAGAACAGACCAAATGAGACATTACAATTACCGGGGACGAGGGTTTACCTCTCTATTTGGATACAAAATCTCTCTTAATCTATGAACATTTCCTTAGAAACTGTCTTCTCCTATACTACCTGAGTGGGTTGATCTCCCCAGCATCACCTGAAACCAAACAAACTGTTTTTAGATACTGAATCAATTCTCTCTCAGCTCCTTTGCTAGGGTTTATAATCTGGTATTATACCATGACCTTAATATGAGACTCTTTTGACAGTTCCTTTCTGAAACTTAGCCCATAGTTTTATGCACCTACCATGGACTCTGTCTGTGTTCTCATAAGAAAAAACAAACATGGTTTATTATTACCTACCTGGCCACTGTAATGTCCGGTAACCGCGCAGTAAAAACCTTGCGGTGAAGCACATAAAGAGTAGGGGTAAAAAGGCTAGTCCGGGAAAACTTCCTCATGCTCGTCCTCTGGTGAAGACAGGCGTTCATGCCCGGGGCTAGTGTTGTTGAGACCTTGTGAGCTGTTGTTATCCTCATCTAGATTGTCTTCTTCCTCGTCATTGATGGGTTTGTCGTAGGAGAAAGGTCTCTGACATATGCAAGGCTGTGGGAACTCGTGAAACTCTCCACGTCCAGGTCTGATCTCATCTGGGTCACCCATGAATCCACGCTGACAAGCTTTTACCTTCTTCGCAAAGGTTTGCCAGTCCATATTTTCACGGTCCATGAACAGAGCACTGAGCTTCTTCGCGTTTGGCCTGATTGTCCTCTTGTGGCCCATGTACCTCCTTTATTCACAAACAAAGGAAGTGTTTAGTGATTTAAGCACAAGATTCGATGGAACTTGTTCGATTGTTGAAACAAACAATCACACACCAAAATCAAAATTTTAGACGCAAAACTAAGATCCATATGACGATAGATTATAGTCAAAGTCTTATAGATGTGAGTCAAGTATCTGGACCCATTTGAAATGTTTATCAGGCTTTGTGGAATCTTATTCACAACCAAAGCACTCTTAATGAAACATCATGCGAAAGGGATGTTAAGTGGTTCTATGATAATACTCAACTTCGTTCAACCCCAAAACCAGAAAAATAATTCTATCAATAGAAATTAAGAAATGCTAAAACAGACAACTTAAAGCATTCTTACCTTCGGCCTGCGAGAATCTTGGCCATATTTCCGTTGTTGTTAGTGATAAAGACGTCACTCTCATCGCAAACAATGTAGTCAATGGCAGCAAGACGTGAAGAATACGGAAGCAAAGGCTTGAGCTCATCGTTGGCAAGCATCTCTTTAGTGTAAAAGTTTGGAAAAAGCTCTCTGAGGGGTCTCAGTGTCTCCTCTCCACCATAAATTTCTCCAGATGCAACATAAATATACGTATCATTTCCAAAACCAAGAGCACGCAGCATCAAGCCCACTTCCATAGGAGTTAGAGGGCATTTCCCACGCTTTCTCTCTTCTAGAGGACTCAAATCCTGCATTTATTACAAAATAGAGATATTATAACTTAAAAATGGCTAATAAAGGAAACATTCATTCAACACTGTTCTACGATAAGAAGAAAATGGTAAGAATGACTAAAAAAGACTTTGATACACGCATCTCAAACATAATCACAAAGAATCTGTGGGAAATGAAATTAGAGAAATCAAAGAGCTTGGTTAACTCACGGGCAATGTGTCCCATCTCTTTCTTATTTCTACCAGCTCGCCTCGCTCTTTGTCACCCCCGCCGAAATAACAACCGGAGAAGGCTAACATATCAGGCTCAAACCTGCAATTATGAACAATATGTTTATTAGCAGAGAAAACGGAAACATGCAGATGTACAGATTAAATTACAAAAATGAAATAGATGATAGCAGAGAAAAACCATAGAAGACTGTTTCCAAGAATATTTACTCACAGTCTGTTGGTAGTCTAGAAGTGAGGCATAATGCACATTGCATGAGACAACAAAATTAGTTTCCAAGGGCGTATTGGTTTGTAAAGTAGGAGGACAAACCTCAAGTGAACAGCTATAAAACGTTTGGCCATCTTTCGCATTCTCTTGACCACTTTCATCCCAAGTGACTGTATAGGTTTTGTGAATCTTAAAGCATGATAATTGACCCTGCACCGCAATTTTTGCAGCTCTTCATCCAGGTCATTTGCTAGTCTATAGTCAAACTTCGTCAACTGTAAAACCTGCAACATCCAAGAAGTAGAAATAGGTTCATAGCCCATAGAATGAAACCAAACCATAGAAAGAAAAATAATTCTGCAAGCCGGGGAAAAAAACAAGCATATAGCTGCCAGACAATATAGGAAGTCATAAAGTGTAGCAATGAATACTGACACTAAACAAACATCCATAACACCCCCCTTTCATATAAACGAATGACAATGTGCAAGTTGAAAGTCAGGTGAAATGATCTTACACGTCTTCTCAAGAGAATTGGCAATACTTGATCAAGATAATACTCAGGAGGAGATTTTCTGGGGACACGCATGGTATAAGGAGGTTTCTCCATCGACCGCATGATCCTATCAGGAACTCTCTTTATTATAGTCACATCTTTGGCGAGAGAAGAGATGAACCAATTCATGTCAAAAATGTCAGCAAAGTCACTGCACACAGAGCAAAGCAATTTTGTCACTAAAATTGGTGTTTCGGGCAACAAACTGAAACTGATATGGTACTGGGCTGGGCGTACTTCTCGGCCCTAGTTACCTGTCATCCTTCCAAAAGGAATGGTGATCCAACTCGGGTAAAACTAAAGTAGCATTTAGAATCCATGCCACAACTACCGCATCGGTTATCTGCTCAGAAAACAGTTAATTTTCCAAACAAACACAAAAGACATCAGCTGAACTTGGTTTCCCAGACATGGATGAAGGAAGTTTTTTTCCAAACTCAAAAAGAAAAAAAGCAATATATCATGAAAGTTTTATTCAGCATTTTCTGTCTGTTATTGCCTTTATCGTTGATAATACACAGCATGGGCATTTGAACCAGAGAAACAGCACTTACTCCTGTTCTTTGTTGATTCAGCCCCCCACTTGCTGCAATAAGCAAAAACCCATTGGAGGATTGTTGACGGACAGCAGCTGCATACCCAGAGAAGAGGAAGAGAAATGTAAGAGAATTGAGTATCTACATGAGGAAAGACCAGAGGATCTTCAGACACTCTAGTTCCACTTCCACGAACCGATTCTACTTCAAACTAACCAATGAAATCCTAACATTCCCAACCAGAAGTCGTGTGCAAATTTAGAAAGGTACCCTATTCACTAATCATAAACCAAACGTCGAAGAACTTACGAGGAAAGTTTTTCCCTCTTTCACTGCATCCGTAGAAGAACTTAGAATATTTTGACTTCCATATATTAATAGGTTCCCGGCGGCTAATATCCTGAAAAACATGCACACGAAGGTTAATGGGAACAGTAGTTCACGGACCATCTTTTTAGCCCGTACTCAACCAAAGATCGTTGGTGAAAATTCGATAGCGGATGAAGACTGATTATTAACAAATTCTCCGAGCTAGGCGGCAATTCGACACGAAATGAAGCAGAAGAACAGTGACGATTTCAGTTTAACTACGAAAATGAAAACTTAGGTGAAGATGCAGTCTAAGAAATTTACCAGCAAGCTCCGTTTGCCCAGCTGCTGAGAATACCACTCGAGGTGCGATACTATGTGACCGGTGAAGAGTGAGATGAGCCCCAAGGCGAAGAGCATGAAGCCGCAGAGCCGCGTCCATGGCACCGGTTTTCTGGGTTGGGTCGCAGAGGATCGCCACCTCCAGAACGCATTCTTGGTTCCTCCGCCTCCGCCGCCGTTCGGGTGCTGCGTCGGCGGCCTCAAGCTGAACCTCCACACATCGATCACCCCCATAGCAACGAAGGACCCTTCCCCACCAATTTCATCACTGATTTCACGATAATGCCATCCCCGACACGGCGAGCATCGGGAAACCGCTGAATCTGGTGTCGGCCGGACAAAAACTCCGGAAGAAGCTCCGATGCGTAGAAGGAAGAAGAGTGCTCAGCTCGAAGGCCAGACAGATCGAAGGATTGAGGGTTTTCGATGAGCAAACAAAGTGATCGTGAGGATCTCTCTGTAGCTCAAGATTTTTCGAAATGATGAAGATGGAAGAGCAGAGAGAGTGGGAAAGCGAAAGCCTATTTCTTTCCTCTCCTTTTCTATTTGTTCCTATATTTATTTTCTCTACGCTAATGCATTTAACACCATAAATTATGCTTCTTTTCCCCCCTTTTGGGACCTAAATAAGATTTCGAGTCATTAATACAATAAAACCCCAAAACGGCATCGTATTTTTATTAGTTGTTATGAAAATGGAAATATATGATTGGGCATATTTATTTTATTATTTTTTGTAACGTGGCTATTTCAACTGGGAATTTTACTCAAATCACCCACTTGAATCGCATCTATTTCACGTGTACAAAAAAAAAAAACATAACACTTTTTTTAAAAGACAAAATTACCCTTAATGAATACACAATTTTTACCCGTTCGAAAACTCGTAATTACGACTTCGTAATTAATTCTAAATATAGTTACAATTGATTCTAAAAAAGTGGCAAAAAAATCATCTGTCTTATTTTAGTGGTATATCAGTTATATTTTGTCGTAATAAAGTCGCAAAAAATAAAAAAAAAAAGGTATTTTGGACTTTTTCAACCGAAAAGTGGGTTAAAATTGAAAAAAAGAAAAAATTCAGTGGTGTACGGTGAAATAGGTGCGACCCAAGTGAGTGATTTGAGTAAAATTCTCATTTCAACTATTAGTCACTGTTCTTTTCATATAATGATTAACCAAAACATATTCGGACCGATAAACAAGTCATGCCATCTACACATACGATCAAAATATTACCATAAAAAAAAAAAGATCAGACAAAACATTTTGACTGTTGTAAAAAAAAAAATTGTAACCGACGGAAAAACCATCGCACAATCTTTCAGACCAGACACCGATCGATCTTATAGATCGGACGGTAGTTCGGACAGTAAATCCCGACTCCACGCAATAGCCGACTAACTATGCAGAACGGATAAACCAATCGAAATTAAACTATTAAAATAAACTCAGATCTCAGAAAAAATCGAATATACAACTTCGTGCAGAGGGAATTTATTATTTTTCAATTTTGGATTTTCTGGACTCTTACAAAGGTGTGTAAGAGTAATTGTAGGTCCATTTTATTATAAGGTTTTAAGCGAGCAAATAAACGAGTATTGGACAACTATTTGGTCATAAGCTTATATTCTATGACCGTAAGGCCAACTATTTCAAAGTGTCATAATGTCATTATTATTATTTCGTTTGTACGTTTTCATGTATTTAGTGTTTCTCCTTTTTTTTTCCTTTATTTATTTAATGCATTACGACTTCTACGGTATAATTATACGAAATAATATCACATGAGAATCTGAGGAATCAAGTGCACAAAAAAGCCGTAGTAGTTGGGAGGGTCACGTGATGACACGAGAAATGTGAATGGGCCGTTACCATGCCACGTGGTCAGCCCATGGTGCAACTTCCCGTTGTTGTAATTTAATAGGCCACGTTATATGGCCTGGAATATTAATTAAACCCACCATTAATTGAGATATAATCTGGTGGTCGATGTGGCAAATTTTGTAGCCAGTCAGTACCAATATAGTCAAGTCAACCCCGTTTTATGATTAAAATAATAATTATTATTATTCTAATTTAGATTTAATATTTGAATCCAAGTCCCTGAATATATTAGATTTGTATGGATCCAAGCAAGTGGATAATTGTTTAAACATTCCTCATTTGTTTAGTTATTCGATTATAATGCAATCATATCATACTTGATAGTACGCTTTTCACATGTTTACCAAATAACAAAATACATTTTATTACTCTCTCTCTTTACTAATAGATATCGTTTTTTATAAAATTTATCTTGTTACTAGATAGATGTTATTTTAGACTTTTTAAGTGATTTTTTCATAAAATTTTTAATTTTACTCTTAAATAAAATATTTAATTTTAATAAAATATTAATGATAATGTGAGTTAATGAGGATACATTTGTTTTTTTCTTTAATTTCTTAAAAATTGTGAAAAATGACATTAATTTTGAAATGAATAGAGTATATTGAATATTATATCGCGATATTTTTTAACCCTTTCCCAAAAAGTAGTATTTATTATTCGAAAATGTATTTTGCAGAAGTAAATGCGCTGTGTCGGTTAATATTTATAACTCATTTGAAATATGGGTAAAATTTTAACATGTATAATTTTGATGGATAATACAATATGATATCATTTAATTGTGTACATTAATAATGGGTGGAATTTGATGGGCCGAATATGATTTTGATTGTTGAAGCAAAATATTAATAGGCCTTGCCTTTTTATCAATAAAACTTCAAAGCCCATACGTAATTACGCACTCCCCAAATCCCCCGCCTTAATCTCTTTTAAATTACAATTTAATCTCAAATGTTTATAGTTTGGACACGTGTCTATAATTATATGTGCATTAAAATTTGTCATTAACCAGTTTTTCCTGGAATTACACTTCTTTTTTCAGAAGTAGACAACATAAAAAAAAAACGATTGGGTATTATAATATCTGGGATAATAAATAAATAAATAAATAATCCTTCGGTTACGTAATTACCGCAACGTGGATGAATCTCATTGGCTTAGACTGTGTTAATGCTCTTAATCCCTCCCAGATTACACCTTTCTCCATTCCATCTCTATTTCAACCACCGGAGTTATTTCATTATATATATATGTTTTCTTTGTGCGACATTTTATCATTGGGTCGAATAACGATTTTAATTTCCATACGATAATAAACATCAATTATCTCTAACAATAATCTTAATCTCAATTACCATAAAATCAAACTTCCTCGTTACTGCCATTTTTTTTTTTGTGAATTTACACATTTTACCATAAGAAAAATATAACATTGAAGCCGGTCCATTGGTTTTGAAAACAATAAATTAATTATTAGTTGCAACAATAAAGAATCCATCAGTAATTGATTATGGACTATATATATGAAAGTATTTCAAGAGATTAAAAAGAAGGTTAGTGTGGAAAAAAAAAATGAAGGTGCAAGGGAGGATGTGGTGAGAGTGAGATGGGTGGTGTATGAGAATTGATTAGGCAGAAGAAACATAAGTAACCAGTTTCATAATGGAACGCGTCACCTTCTTATATATATATATGTTTTATGCGCTATGAAAAGGATGTCTCCTTTCTTTTACATATCATGTCATACATACATACATACATACATACATACATACATACATACATACATACATACATACATACATACATACATACATACATACATACATACATACATACATACATACATACATACATACATACATACATACATACATACATACATACATACATACATACATACATACATACATACATACATACATGCATACATGCATACATACATACAAACAATATTGTAATGTCGTAATGGTTCAACTCCAACATCCTTATCTTATGGGAGAGGAACTCTTTGGATGTGTTTGGCGGATCACTCACGTAAACACTCTGTATGATTCGGAGGGATTGTCCTTTCATGCAAGTTTCCTCAGTTCATTTAAAAAAAACGATCGTCACCTAATTCTGGTCAACAAACCGAATAAATCTATCAACTAAGCTCCAACGAACCAATATCCATTCTAAATATTTATCTCAATCAGTCGATATCGTTTGTAAAATGTTGTTCACCCGCTTAGGCTACTCGACAAATGTTTCAACGCGCGATCGTTGTGTATTAATTTTGGTATTTACCTGAAAAATACGTGTATTTGAATAAATACTTTGTTATTGATGTTGATCACACATTTACTAGTCCATTAATTTACATATTTAAATATATAGTTTTATTAGAGATATATACGAAAGCTTTAATATTTTATCGGAATATATATATATATAGAGAGAGAGAGAGAGATAAAATATCAGGGATTGATATATATCTCGAATAACTCTGTAATTTGCATCAATTATCCGAAGGTTGATGAGTACGACCGAATTAAACACCGTATCGAATAATGAATCTTACACTAAATTATAGTGTTTGCGCACGTGAAATAATAAAAAAGGAAAGTGAACATCGATAATCGTCATGTACGGAAAGTGAACATATCCATAATGATAGCAGAAAGATGCAATTTAACATCAAACAAGTTTCCATAAATTCAATTAACTAACGAGAAACGATACGTATTGCGTATATAATATGAACGCAATGGTCATAATAATTAACTATATTTAATAACACTAATAAATATATTTTCCAAAAATAGGAAATATGCCTCAACCGTGAAACCAACCGTGGAGCCCCAAGACAGAATCTTGGATTAAAAAGGCACACTCACGGCAGAATCTCCACTTCCCTCTCCCTGTCCCTTCAACTTTCTCCTTCCTTAATCATACCTTTGCCGCTTTGATTCAATCAAACCTCTGGTTCTATCAGAATCTTTAACTTCGACCAAAAGTTTCTTTCTTTTTTTTTATTTTTTTGTCCTTTTCGGGTTCCCCCCGCCCCCCGCAAAACCAGGGACCCATGGCTCTGAAACTCTGTAACTTGCTCTGTTTTTTCTTATTCGTCGCGTCCTGTTTCCCTTGCCGGTTTCCGGCTGAATCGTTACCGGAGTCCACGACGATGACGACGGCATCCCAGACGACCCGCATAAGCAACGACACGTGGCGTGATTTCAGCCGTCTGATCGATGTCGAGAAAGGCAGCCGCGTCAACGGCGTGTCGGAGCTGAAGAGATATCTCCACCGGTTCGGTTACCTCACCAACTCCGCTGGAGATTCCAAATTCTCCGACGTGTTCGACGGCGACCTCGAATCCGCTGTCTCTCTCTACCAGAAGACCCTCGGCCTACCCATCACCGGCAAACTCGACCCCGATACCGTCGCGGTGATCTCGTCACCGCGCTGTGGCGTTAGCGACGAGACGTTACACGACGATAGTATAATCCATGCAACGCGACGTTACACGTACTTCGGCGGTAAGCCGAGGTGGAACCGTGATAGCCCTATCCGTCTAACATACGCCTTCTCGAAGACGTACACAGTCGATTACCTCGGCTCCGACGACGTCAAGGCAGTTTTCCGGCGAGCTTTCGGACGGTGGGCGGAGGTGGTTCCGGTGAGTTTCTCGGAGGTGGAGGATTACAGCTCCGCCGACGTGAGGATCGGATTTTTTGGACACGACCACGGTGACGGCCAACCGTTCGACGGCGCTCTCGGGATACTCGGCCACGCGTTCGCGCCGGAAAACGGGAGGTTGCACCTGGACGCGGCGGAGACGTGGGCAGTTGACTTTGGGAGGACGGAGTCTGACGTGGCCGTTGACTTGGAGTCTGTGGCGACGCACGAGATAGGGCACGTGCTGGGGTTGGGGCACAGCTCGGTGAAGACGGCGGTGATGTACCCGAGTCTAAGGCCGAGAACGAAGAAACTGGAGCTGACGGTTGATGACGTGGCGGGCGTACAGAAACTGTACGGACAGAACCCGAACTTCCGTTTGAGTTCCCTGATGGGTACGGAGAAGACGTGGAGGAGCGGAACCGGAACTGGAAGATTCTTGTCGGGGAGCTTGACCGTTTCTCTTCTGTTCCTCCATTTGCTACTGTTTCTAACTTTCTATGATCGTTAGAGGCAGGGAATATATCTTCTTTTAACATTCAACGTATAACAATGGACGAAAACAGGGGTGACGTTTAATTGATTATTTAATTTGGTTTGTAGTCAATTTGCTTATATTTAATGTATCCTGATCTCGATTTTTTTTTTGTCAAATGCAGTCAATATTTGTACTCAGTTTTGCATATACATAACGATTTTTTCCATTTTTTTTTGGTAGCCAAAACTCAGGGAAATACGCGATCAAGTTTTGTTTTCGATCATATGCGTAAATTGCATATAATATGATGAACTATAAGTTTTAAAAGAAAAAAAAATCAAACAGCATCTGTTGCTGAACTTATTGTGACATTTTTTTCTTAATATATCGCATAATCAAGACATGTAGTTTTAAAATAATTATATAAAATATTCCGTAAATATTTTTTTCCGGTATACACTATCATGATTTTGGATTCATTATATAAGACATGATATAAGTTTGAGTTTGCTGGTTATCACCTACCGTAAAATTTTCCTCTTTTATGCGAGTTTGGAATCGACAAAACACGAGATATTAGATAACCTATATCCAGATGGAGATTATGAAAGAGTTAACCTGAAATCGAAATGAGTGGAGAAGTATTACCGATGAGGCCATGTCGTTTTTGTATGCATACTACCATATTCGATCCCGATCAAAGACCCTGGCCCAACCACCAATTTATTGGTTTCTTCTGATCCTCACAGAACAGCGTACATAAGGCCCAGTTGAATTGACCCAAAAGGCCCATATCGTCACGAAGAGTTGGGGGGTAATAAATAATGCTAGTATAATTGTGAATAAAATGTTTTCACTTATGTTGATTGTGCCGTCGGATTTACGCACTGAGCAGTCCCGTATGGTGCTCAGACAATTGATACAATGATATATATACAAGCTTACGGAACTAACAAAGCTACTGTTAAGGAAACAAAATAAGTTAAAATAACAAGAGAGCAGATTTGGCTCTATCTAGTTGATTCTCCTTAATATGCCCCCGCAAGATGGACGCGGATGAGAGTCCAATCTTGAGTCGGAGATCGTCGAACTTCAGCCTAGAGAGAGGTTTCGTGAGTGTGTCCGCAAGTTGATCCGAGGCTGAGATGTGTGTAACTCGAAGCTTCTTTGCTTCCACAAGTCCCCGAATGTAGTGATAGTCAATAGCAACGTGTTTCATTCGAGAGTGAAACACGGGATTAGCCGACAAGTACGTGGCTCCAACATTATCACAATAAATTACCGGGGTCGAAGGAATTGGTACTCGGAGTTCCGAAAGGAGAGACATGACCCATTCAACTTCGGAGGCCGTCGTCGAAACCGATTTGTATTCGGCTTCCGTAGAAGATTTTGCTGCGAATTTCTGCTTCTTCGAGGACCAGGAGATAGGGTGGCTGCCAAGATATACAATGTATGCTCCCGTAGAGCTGAAGTCATCACGATCACCTCCCCAATCCGCATCGGAGTAGGCATGTAATGACATCGTATTCGTGCGGGAATAGAGAACACCAAGAGCCCGTGTACCCGCAAGATATCGTAAGATACGCTTGACTGCCTGCCAATGTTCCGTAGTGGGACGATGCATGTATCGAGAAAGCTTATTAACTGTAAAGGCAATGTCCGGTCGAGTGAACATAAGGTATTGGAGACTGCCCACAACTTGGCGATATTGTGTGGGATCGTCTAGAGCCGAGCCCGAGAGGAGGGAGAGCTTGGTGGCCGAGGACATGGGTGTGCTCGTTGGCTTGGCATCCTGCATCATATGACGAGTAAGGAGATCCGTAATGTACCTTTCTTGAGTGAGAAGCATACCCGTGGGAGTGTGGGTGACTTCAACACCAAGGAAATAGGACAGGTTGCCGAGGTCCTTCAATGAGAACCGAGAAGCCAACATGTCAATGTACTTGCGGACAGCCATAGGGTCATTGCCGGTGATGATGATATCATCGACATACATGAGCAGGTAGATCGAGATAGCACCGTGATGGAGGATGAATAGAGACGTGTCCGAAAGTGCATTGACGAAGCCAGATTGAAGGAGAAATTGACAAAGTTCCTTGTACCACGCTCGCGGGGCTTGTTTGAGGCCGTAGAGTGCCTTGTGTAGCTTGCAAACGTGAGAAGGTTTGTCCCGATCAATGAACCCTTGTGGTTGTGACATATAAACATCCTCATGAAGAGAGCCTTGTAAGAATGCATTATTAACATCAAGTTGCCGGAGGAGCCAACCACGAGATATAGCGATGCTTAGAACCACCCGAATCGTGGTAGGTTTTACCACGGGGCTGAAGGTTTCGGTGTAATCCACACCGGGCCTTTGGTGAAATCCCTTTGCTACAAGCCGAGCCTTAAACCTGTCAATGGAACCATCCGAAAGGCGTTTAGTCCGAAAAACCCACTTACACCCGACAATGTTATAGGAGTGATGAGGAGGAACCAATGTCCAAGTTCCATTGCGGAGCAATGCATTGAACTCGTCGTTCATTGCATGTCGCCACTTCGGATCTTTGAGCGCTTGAGTCACACATGTCGGTTCTATGTCACTTTGGGAATGAAGGGATGTGGTGAGGGTGAGTTTGGTGGATGGTTTGGAAATGTTATTTTTGGCTCGTGTGGTCATTGGGTGTGTGTTTCGAGATGTTTGTGGTAGAGGTTCGGTTTCGGCCAATGGGGGAGATAGGTTCTCAATGTTGGTTTCTGGTTCAGTTGACATTTGGATAGAATGTGGTGGTGACGATGGAGGTACGAGATGAGGGGAAGGCTCGGGTTCAGATGAGGAGGCCGGAGACGATGTTGCCGAGGGTGACACCACACTGTGAGCCGGTGTCGGATCCAACGGCGGAAACACCATTGAAGCAGGCGGCGTGTACGAAGGCCGAAACGGAACAAGGCTTGGAAGAGATGTGCCCGAAGTGGTAGGTTCGGTAGGAGAAGGGACTCGAGGAGGAGACAAGAACGGAAATTGGTTTTCCACAAATTCTACATGCCGAGAGACATATAGGCGACGGGACGGAAGATGAAGACACAAGTATGCGCTTTGGGATAAAGAGTATCCAACAAAAACACATGGAGCGGAACGAGGGTCTAGTTTGTGTCGGGAATAAGGACGAAGCCAGGGATAACATAGACACCCGAAAGTACGTAATTTTTGGTAGTTGGGAAGAGTCCCGAAGAGGGTTTCAAAGGGAGATCGAGATTGTAGAACTAGCGTCGGGAGGCGATTTATGAGATAAACCGCCGTAGGGAACGCATATGTCCAATAATCTCGAGGGATAGATGCATGTGATAGCAATGAGAGACCCGTTTCCACAATGTGGCGGTGTTTCCTTTCGGAAATGCCATTGTGTTCCGGTGTGTGTGGAGGGGTGGTAAAGTGAGAGATACCATGACTCGACAAAAAATTTTTGAGGGCTAGATATTCACCACCATTATCAGAGTAAAGCGAGACAATTTTGTGTTGGAAGCGATTTTCGACAATGAGTTTGAAACGAGGGAAGATGTCAAGGACCGAGGATTTGCGTTTTAAAGGATAAAACCAAGTGTATCGAGTGAAATGGTCAACAAAAATCACGTAATATTTGTAACCATCAAACGATTCAATTGGAGAAGTCCACACATCGGAATAAATTATTTCAAGAGGTTTGGACGAGTGAACGGTGGAAATAGAAAATGGTAATTTATGACTTTTATTGATAGAACACGAATTGCAAAACAACGATTGACTCGACGGGTTTGACAACGGAAGAGATAACCCGGAAATTATTTTTCTTAAAAGATCAAAAGAGGGATGACCTAGCCTAGAATGCCACTCGGACAAAGTGGTCTTGACGGTAGAAAAAGCGGAAAAGGTTGAATGGGGACGACGGGTGATTTCGGTCAGGTTTGATGTCGGCCATTCGTACACTCCGTTTTTAGCTAACCCGCTTGCCAGTGGTGCCCCCGTATTGAGATCCTTCACCTGAAACGAGTGCGGGAAAAATTCGACCGAAACACCGTTAGTAAGACAGAGTTTGTGTATAGATATGAGGTTCTTATGCATGGTTGGGACTAAAAGGACATCATGAAGTGAAAGGGAACAAGAGGAAGAGGGGAGTAACATAGAACCAGTGTGTGTGATCGGAAGGCCCGATCCATCTCCAATCACCACATCATCACCGCCGGTATATGGGGAGTGTAGAGAGAGGTTGGCAAGGTCGGTTGTGACATGGTGGGATGCCCCGGAATCGAGCAGCCATGCCGGTGGATTGGCTGTACCAATAGAGGCTGCATTCACAGTCGGAGCGGAGTAAGGGTGCCCGTGGGGAGACGGCTGGAACTGACCCGAACCATAGGTGGGTGCCGGATTCGGGAGGATGCCGGAACCACCGTGAAGAAGACGACAGAATCTCGCGCTATGACCTTGCACACCACACAATTGACACTTGCCTTGGTAACCCTTCGGACCATTGTGAGAGTGCTTCGGCGGCCGAGTCTCGTATTGCGGACGGTATGGGCGAGTCGATGACCGAGGCTTGAAAGTCGCAGCATTGGCTGTGATAGGAACTTCCGAGACTAATGATTGCGAGGCAAGGACATCCACTTCATGGTTGATTAACTTCTCGTGAAGTTCAACAAAAGAGATAGCGGTATCCTTGGCTTGAACAACATCTTTGATGGCCTTGTACTCATCTCCAAGACCGGCAAGTGTGAGATCGATTAGATCTTCGTGATCCATCGGTTTTCCAAGGAGTGCGAGTTCATCGGACTTCACCTTGAAGAAATTCATATAATCGTCAATTGTCTTGGTTCCCTTGGTGAAGCGTCGCAATTGTTCCTTGATTTGCTTCACATGGCCTCGGCTTGAACGACCGTAAGTGGTGGCTAGTGTATGCCACGCATGACCGGACGTCGGAGAAGTAGCAACAATGGCTTGGCACGAGGTGGAGAGAGAGACGAGAAGGGCAGCAAAGATGAGTCGATCTTGACGAAACCATGACTCATATGCAGGGTTGGGGGTAACTACATTACTTGTAGTTACAGTGGCTGGAGGGGCGCTGCTTTGGTCGAGGAATCCGGCAAGGTTGTAGCCTTGTAACAAGGCTTGGATTTGAACACTCCAGGGAATGTAGTTTGTTGCCGTTAGCTTGGATACGTTCGAAACATTGATGTTGATCAACGTTTTGGAAGGGTTTTCCGGATTGAACGGGGTGACTGTATCCGTGGGAAGAGAGGAGGGGATGAGGAGCTTCCATCGGTGGCCATGGCTGTCGTCAGTAAGAGAGGAGGAGGAAGAGACGGCTAGGGTTTGATGGGTGTTTTAGTCTTTCGACAGATGCTCTGATACCATATAATTGTGAATAAAATGTTTTCACTTATGTTGATTGACAATTGATACAATGATATATATACAAGCTTACAGAACTAACAAAGCTACTGTTAAGGAAACAAAATAAGTTAAAATAACAAGGGAGCAGATTTGGCTCTATCTAGTTGATTCTCCTTAATAGCTAGGGGTTATGATGATAAACATAAAATAACAATTAATAGTGGCATAAACGGGAAATAAATAAGTGAAACAGTAATGATGATGATGATGACGATGAGATTTTCAGACATTAAGATTGAAGCAAACTAACAGTTGTTGTACTCGAAACCTTTTCCTCTACTCAAGATCCAACTACTACTACCCTAAATCCGCTTCAGTTTACCAAATATTTTGCCTAATTATATCTGTCATAACATCATGAAAATTCGGATAAATATTTCTCCTACACTTGAATTTGAACCAAAAATAAAAAATATGTTTTGCATATTGTTTACCATTTAATCACCCAAATTTGGATGTATTATATAAAATTAAGTCCTAAATACGGTAACGAACATGTCAAAAGTAAAATTTTATGAACAACGTTTGTAACAATAAGCGGCACTGGTTTTATTATGTAATTATTAATGGGGAAATATTTTTCTATTGTTGATTACAAGATACACGTTAATATATTAAAAAAAAATACAACATAATATTCTAGATATAATATATATGGTAATCATAATCATATTAATGAATATATCTTCCTATATGTATTATTTGCATAGTTTTCGAACAACAAATGATTATAAGAAACAAAAAATTAAAAGGTGAAATGTAGATCTACTATATTCGAGTATCATAGGCAGTTTGTTATCATCTAATGCCGACCAACAATTTCCGTGACGATTCATGTAAGTATGCTCTTTCTTAATCATATCACATTAAATAATTAATCAACACACATATGGAATCTATATAAAAGAGCATATATTTAAATGGACATATTTGATCGTTTTCGACGGAAATACTCGTATATTTTGCATTGGGGGTTGTGATTAGAATCTAATCGCGCTTGGAAATTTCAAAATGCGATACAGGGAACATGCTTTTACTAGAATACTTATTATTGTCATGACCATCACTAACTTTCTTATTTTTTTATATAATAACTATCATGTATTTAACGTGATTAAACCGGTTCGTGATTAAACCGGTAAAATGGGAGTGCAAAATCTCTATCTCATACCGAGTTTGATACTCAATTACCCAATTGACCAAAACTAACGTGTATTTTGCCAATCATGAGAAACACTATATAAACAAAAAGATTTTTTTAAAAATAATTACACGACGACCAAAAATTGTGGAAAACCCTTTAAATAATTTGTAAAAAAATATTTTTAAAAAAAGATAATTACGATCGAGAATTTGTAAGATAACCGGTTTCTTACTTTCTTCCATTTATTCTTGAATCTAATTATGTGTAGTCTTGGTATTATTGGTCGTTGTGACGCGAACTCATACTCGCTTCGCTTGAACCGAGGCAAGATTCTCATTTGCTTTATATAATTTCACGAAAATAGGCAAAAGTGGATATTACGTACCATCATTATTAGTTATCTTAATGACCCAAAATATCATAATTTTTTTTTTGGGGGTGTGTGTAGAGGAGAATGCTTGTTACCTACTCTTATTAAGTTCCCAACCTCCATCCCTTCTCCAAAGCCTCTGTAGCCATTTCAGAGAGAGAGAGAGAGAGAGAGAGAGAGAGTAAACAAGATTCAAGAAAAACAAATACAGAGATTCCCTCTGTTACTGTCTTGATGGAGAAGCACAGGTGCAAGCTCTGTTTGAAGAGTTTCGTAAATGGCAGAGCTCTTGGAGGCCATATGAAGTCCCACATAGTCGCATCTCTGCCGACTCGGAGGAGACTCCGCGAGTCGCATCACGAGTCGTCGGCGTCCTCCTCGTCTTCCTCTTTCGGTGACCCAGACGGTAAATCTCCGAGCTATAAGTTGCGAGAGAATCCGAGAAAGAGCTTCCGGGTCGCGGATCCCGCGGTTTCATTCGCGAATCTTGATTCCAGACTGTCATCCGTCGTCAACGCGGAAGAGAACGAACCCGAACCCGGAAACCCGGTTCAGAAACGAGTCCGGAAATTGGGCGTTGAAACCAGGAGACGTAGGTCGAAGAAAACAGAGAAGAAGACGACGATAAAGACGGGTCGAAACGCAGAGGAGCCGAAAAGGAAGAAAAAGAAAGAGGAGGACGTGGAGAAGGGTCAGAACTCGAACGATTCGACGACCGAGTCGCCGGAGCCGGCGAGTTCTGTATCCGACCCTTCGCCGGAGGAGGATTTAGCCATGTGCTTGATAATGCTGTCGAGAGATGCAAGAAAGCTCGACGCGAAACTGAAAAAACTCGCTTTTGATAAACCAGAGGAGACAGAAGAAGGGAAGAAGCCGGGAAAAAGACGGAGCTCGAAGCTCCGCCGCTGTCTGCTAGATCTGAACATGCCTCCGCCGGCGGAAGACGACGAAGCTTGCAGCGTAGTGTCAGCCATGTTGTCGGAAGAACAGTTGCTTTGAGTGGTTAGATGCTATCATGCTAATCAGATGGAACTGAAAAAGAGAATTCTTTTATTAGATGTTGGATTTTGCTTCATATCTCTAACACCGTTGTTTGATCCAAGACCGAAAAAAAAAACCCAGGAACGAGATCTGTTTGTGGTTTGATGACCGGTGAAATCCGATGCTCTGTTCTATTATTAGTTTGTGGTGTTTTTATTGCAAAGATGCCTTCTTTTAAGACGCGAGTGATAATAAATTGTCCATCTTTTGGATCTAGATGCCGTTTGATTCTGTTTTTTTTTTAATTAAAAAAAATTGGGATGGGTATATGTAGAATATTTGATATGTAATATGTTATTACCGTTTGATTTTTTTTTTGTTTTCTTACAAGTTATTTGGTTATTTACATATATAATCTCATCATATTCAATAAGGCCTTCAAAAATCGCCAAATTTTAATGCGTGTTTTTCTCTGAGTTTTATATTACGAATAAAACTGTAAAAAAAAAACAATTCTTTTGTCCGACACTCGGCAAGATCGCAATATTAATAGAGAGAGGTGCAACGATTTAAAATAAAACAAGTTTTTTTGAATTGTTACTGAAAATGGTTATTGATGGTAATATAATTTATTTCAAACGATTTATAAATGTTAAAACATCAGAGGCAATGCAAACTTTGTATATGCGATGCATTTTCAGACACAAATTAAATGCAAATTTATTATTAAAAGGAAAATACGCATCGCGCTCTGTCTCGTCTGGTGGGGTGGGAGGGCGAAAGGCGAAGGATTTTCCTTTTTTTTGTGTTCTCTGTTCTCTCTCTCTCTCTCTCTCTCTCATCTTCTGTTACTTGGGATTTCTTCGTGGAATCTGGTGAGTTTGTAATTTGTAATTTGATTTTTTTCGTACATGCTGTCTTGGCCGTAACATAGGAGCGATAACTGGCGGATTTGTTTTGCGTTTTGTTTCATCTCAGTTTCGATGTTCTTAGAATCGCCTCGGGACATTGTACTAACGCTAGATCTCGTTCCGTTTTCTGTGGATTTAGGTTTCTGGATATTGGATCTCGATGTCAGGACCTCTCTGGATTGGGGGAAGAATGCTGTAGATGAGCTCTAATAGGAGTGGATTCGGAGGCGGATCGACGAATCTGGCGGTGATTTTCCTGTCGGAGGAATCCGGACTTCAGGAGATTTTGTGTCTTTCTTTCTTTATCTTTCCGATTTAGATGGCTTCGAATCCTCCGTTCAACATGGAGGATCAGACGGATGAGGATTTCTTCGACAAGCTGGTGGAGGATGATTTCGAACCTACAATGCCGTCTTCCCCGTCTACTGGTGCTGCAAAACCGGTTGATGGAACTAATTTTGATAACACGAGCTCTTTCGCTAATCTGAGCATTGCTGATGATTCTGGTGACGAGGAACAAAGTCACCGAGAGAAAGAGGTTAGTGATCCATCGGCGGGGGAAGAGGCCAATCTATCGGCTTCAAAGGCTGATGATAACAGAGAGCCTCTCATGGTAGAATCCAATTCGTTGAGTCCATCAAACGAATTAGCAGTGGAGGGTAACGGAGTGATGGAGCTGCAAAATGAAGGGTCAGGGCTGGAGGCTGAAGCTCTGCCGAGATCTGATTCAATAGAAGCTAGCAGTGTAAATGGATCTGGGGGTTCCAGGGTTAAGGAGGTGGGTTGGAACGCGTTTTATGCTGACTCCATGGATAATTCTGGACACGATGGATTGGATTTCTTCGGTGATCTAGGAAATAACGCTGCAGGTTTTCCTGGAAATACGGAGGATGGTGCAAATTGTGGAGACTATACTGCCATGGGAATCACACAACCTAAAGATATTGGCTCAGATAAATCGGTTAATGATTGTAATCCCGTAGATCAGATTGCTAACGGACAGGATTCCAGTGACAATCAGTATTGGGAGAACATGTATCCGGGATGGAAATATGATCCAGCTACTGGGCAATGGTATCAAGTAGATAATCATGAGCAGAGCATGAATTCTCTACAGAATGATGGCGATTTGACTACTGCTTGGGGCAAGGCTTCCGACAGGAATACAGAGGTTGCTTACTTAAGGCAAAGCAATCCATCTGTTGTGAGTAAAATAGCTGAGACTAGCACAACAGAGAGCATCTCTAATTGGAATCAGGATTCCCAAGCTAATGGTGGCTACCCAGACCACATGGTTTTTGATCCTCAATACCCAGGCTGGTACTACGACACAATTGCTCAAGAATGGCGTGCACTGGATAGCTACAATGCATTGTCTCAATCAGCTGATCAGGTTCATGACCTCAAAAATCAAAATGGTTATAGTTCCGTTGATGGGTATTCTAATGATATTGCAGGCACCATGCTTAGTGAAAATGGCCAGGCTGATAAGATTTCTTCTGAAGATCTTGGTAGCCAAGGTCAACATGTCAGCTGGACTAACTATAACGGAACCCACAGTAATGAGATTACTAATTCTTGGCAGCCTGAAATTCCAGCTAGGACTGGGACAGTCGCGTTCTCAGCGACGGCTTCTGGTTTTAATGGAAACCAACAAGTAGATAACTTTTACGGTTCTAATGGTTTTGTTGACAACCTTTCTTCCGGATATCATTCATATGATAAAGCAAGTCAAGGCCAATTTGAGACAAATGGCTTGGATGGAGCTCATACCTTTGTTCCTGATATGAATTTGGACCAGCAATTCAGTGTGACTAATATGAAACAGAGTGGGCAAATGGGTTTCTCAACTGACTTCTATGGGAGTCAACAATCTTTAAATGTACCTCAGCAATCATTTCAGCCCATTCAACAGTTTCCTTATGGTCCCAGTTCTGGACTATCACCGGATGGACGTCCACCACATGCAATTGTTACTTTTGGGTTTGGTGGAAAACTAATATTGATGAAAGATAATAGCTTATCATCTGGAAGCCAGGTGAGAGCCTTTGATGTCTTTGCCCTGACCTGTATGATGTTTCGATCCTGGTGATGTTAAATGACAAGATAAATTTCTTCTTCCAGGGAAATTTTTTTTTTGCTTCTTTTATACAAATTTATTCATTTGATGCACATGTATCCAGAATTTGCTGAAGTCAATATGATATGCCATTATATCACCTAATACCTGTTTTCTTTATGCATGTTCTGTGTGAAGACTTCTGGCAGGAACTCTATATCCATCTTGAATGTGATGGAAGCTGTTGCTGGAAGTGATAATTTGCCAGGTCTTGGAGCAGGGACTTCTAATTACTTCAGTACCCTTTGCCATCAATCCTTTCCTGGTCCATTGGCTGGTGGAAGCGTGGGCAGCAAAGACTTGCATAAGTGGATCGATGAAAGAATGCCAAATTGTGAATCTCTAGGCCCAGATCATAGGAAAGGAGAATTACTAAAGTTGCTACTTTCACTGCTAAAGATAGCTTGTCAGCACTATGGAAAACTCCGATCTCCTTTTGGCACCAACACAACTGTGAGGGTATACAATTTTCTTATTGTTGATATTGGTTTTATCTTTAACTAATATCTCTAGGCTAGTTCAGGGCTGACATCTGGGGTGGTTTTTCCGGCCAGATGCATCGGATATCACTTTGTCTATGGTCATCTTCAGCATTATTTCTTTCATTTTCTTTTATTTGTAATATGTTTGGAAATTGAGAAAATTGAACTTGGGTCTTGCACTACCGTGGTCAGTACCCGATTCCATATCGCTGGAATACCACGGCAATGCTCTGACATTCTTAGTTAAATTTCTATACAGTGTTTTTTGTTATTGTTTCCTGTGCTAGTGCTTGCTATTTGCTATTGGAATACACCCATATATCTGTTTCATTCCCTGGGAAGGAAAAGAAAAATCTATTGGAAGAATTTCGTTAGATGCGCGATGTGGAGTTTTCCGTGCATTCTCTATATTATCTAAGGCTAAGTCTTTCAGCCCTACTGTCTCTGTCTTTTATTTACTTTCTGATGTTTTACATGCCTGGATTTTGGCTCTCAACAGGAGTCTGATTCTCCAGAATCAGCAGTGGCTAAGCTATTCACATCGACCAAGAAGAAAGGCATGGGCCACAGCATGTATGGAGCTCTTAGCCACTGTTTGCAGCATATACCACCAGAGCAACAGTTGCAGGTATGTTGCGCTCAGTATCCGCCTCTTCCCTAATATCTGATACGTGCAAGTTTGTTGACCAGCTTATATGTGTTTTCCAGACGGCTGCTTCAGAAGTGCAGAATCTTTTGGTTTCTGGTAGAAAGATGGAGGCTCTGCAATGTGCCCAAGAAGGCCAGTTATGGGGACCTGCTCTTATTATTGCAGCTCAACTCGGAGAACAGGTTCCATAACCACTTCCTTTATTTTCCTTCCACTCATAGTTAATATAATCCTGCTTTAGTGTTAAATGAGGGTTGGATGATTACTCACATCGTTGCTTTTTCTATCTGGTGGAATACCAACAAAACACAGTTTTATGTTGATACCGTGAAGCAAATGGCACTTCGCCAGCTAACAGCTGGATCGCCTTTGAGAACGTTATGCCTACTCATTGCTGGGCAACCAGCTGAAGTTTTCTCCAGCAACAATGTGAGTGATGGTGGACTTGATGGCTCTACGATTATGTCTCATCAAAACCAGGTGACGTGTCAATAGTATTCAAGTCTTTGTTTTAACTTTTGATATTGTTCTATTGACCCATGTTTGTAATATTTTTCCTTTTGTTGTGTTAATAAATTGATGGATTAAGCTCATGTCAGACCTCCCAGCTACCAGAACTGCAAGTCTAACCTACGCTGAGGACTTCATCCTCAAACTCAATGTTTATGGCCTACTGATATAGCTCATTGTTGTTTTGTTATTTCAAGCAAATATTTTGGTTATCGTGGATCATATGTGTAGAGCTAACTCTGGAATTGGACAGTTGGAAATATCATTTAGTAGGGCATATTTGTATGGGAAGACAATCATGGGTTGATAAATGTCTATTTGAGTTGGCCAAAGGTTTCGTTGAGGTTAACTAAAATGCTCTATTCTCCTTTTCATTTTATTTCAGAACGGATATAATAGCATGCTTGACGACTGGGAAGAAAATTTGGCTGTGATAACAGCAAATAGAACAAAGGATGATGAGCTTGTGATTACTCATCTCGGAGATTGCCTGTGGAAGGATAGAAGTGAGGTCTGTTATATTATACTTGCTAGTATTTTCATCTTTTGGACTGAAGAATATGCTTAAACCTTACATAAAACTTGAAATGCAGATAACTGCGGCTCATATTTGCTACATAATTGCGGAGATGAACTTTGAGCCATATTCAGATACTGCAAGACTGTGTTTAATTGGATCAGATCACTGGAAGTTCCCTCGAACCTATGCCAGTCCAGAGGCTATTCAGGTTTCTGCCTGTTGTTTTGGCTTAATGTTTCTTCTGCTGCATGATTTCCCTCTTTAGTAGAGCCTAATTGGCTCAGGCTATACATACATGAACAGAGGACGGAATTATATGAGTACTCAAAGGTGCTAGGGAACTCGCAGTACATGCTTCTTCTTTTCCAGCCTTACAAGATCATTTATGCGCATATGCTGGCAGAGGTTGGGAAACTTTCAGATGCAATGAAGTAAGCATGTTAACTTCTTCTCTCATATTACGAACATAAAAATTTCCTTTTGGTTTCTTGACGTTTGTCATTTAAAATCAGGTACTGTCAAGTGGTGCAAAAGTCCCTTAAAACCGGCCGCTCCCCTGAAGTGGACATGTGGAAACAGCTCGTGTCCTCCCTCGAAGAAAGGATCCGTGTTTATCAACAGGTATCTTATACCGTGAGTTGTTATTAAATAACTAAGACATTCTTTATTTTAAAGTCATTGTTATAACTATTGCGGGTGAATATGTGATTTCAGGGCGGGTTTACAAATCTGGCCCCTGCTAAATTGGTCGGGAAACTGCTAAACTTCTTTGATAGCACTGCCCATCGTGTTGTCGGTGGTCTACCACCGCCTGCACCAACGTCTCAGGGAAACACTTTGGTCAATGGGCAGAATCACCGTCAAGGCACAGGTAGAGTTTCGGCTAGTCAGTCGACAATGGCCATGTCGTCACTAATGCCATCTGATTCAATGGAGCCCATAAGTGCATGGGCTGGTGATGGAAGCAAGATGAAGATGCATAATAGAAGTGTTTCGGAACCAGACTTCAGTAGGACACCGCAGGTGGGTTTGTTGAGATTAATCTTTTGGATTTTGACTTCAAATATGCAAATACCTTTCCTGAAAGATCAAATTGCAGGTTGATTCATCAACAAAAGAGTTGTCAGGTGATGCGCAAGGCAAGAACTCAGGTACCGCTGGTGTATCTCGGTTTAGTCGTTTCGGTCTTCTGCAAAAGACAGTGGATTTAGTCCGATGGTCGAGAGGCCGCCAGGTACTTTTCCATTTCATGTGATCACGTAAAAGCTGGATGATTTACACATGCTTTCTCTTGTGCTCTTTCAACTTTTGGCATTCATATTTGAAACTTCAAAAAATCCGATTTTTCCTTTTTGGTTTTGGACTACACAGATGGCCGAGATCGTGCGCGCGCACACACACTCATATATATATATATATATATTATGTGTACAAACATACATGAAAAACATATCCTAGTTTGCTCAACCTGAAAATAATTCTTCTTTGTCGGTAAATATACCTGAATATGTGACGTAACCTTAATTAACAATATAGGTTTTATGTATATATCTTCACAGTTTTTATATCATATCTATCCTCGTTGTCATGACTATCTTTTCTGAAAACCATTTCAATAATCTCTCTGATGCCTGTGCTGATTTTGACATGGCATTACACTTTGAAAAGGCCAAACTTGGTGAAGAGAACAAATTCTATTATGATGAAAAGCTCAAGAGGTGGGTAGAGAAAGGTGCTGAGATTTCAGCTGATGAACCAGCTCTGGCACCGCCTCCTACAACTGCCGCTTTCCAAAATGGCAATGCTGATTTTGGTGGCACGAGACCTGCAACGAGTGAAATGTCACCAACCAGCACGAACCCCGGGTTCAGCCCACCAAACCCAGATAGCTCTTCAGGAATGCGTCACC